AACAAGAATAAATGTCGAAGCTTCTTAATTCTTCTGCATGTAACAACTGGCAAGAAAATGTCTGGCACTCGCCTAATTCTACATTGGATTGTTCAACATTATGATGCATAATATTACTATTGATAATTCATTTAGTTTAAGTCGGTAAGAAGCAGATCTGTCGATCATATCAAACTGTTTAGCTTTTGATGTAGTTTATAAATTTCATTGAATCTTAAGAAATTAAAACATATCAGTTTAAATATTATGCGTAATTTTGTAATCTACCGCTCATGATGATGCAGTTGCATATACAACGATTCACTTACTGTGCGTAACATGCAGACTATTAGAAACTTACCTGTCAGTCAAACACAATCTACCTTTATTTACTAATTTAACGAATAAAGAAAAGCTGAATTGATACCTACCAATAAGAATTACAGTATGACAGAATAACATCTTCGATTTATGTATACAAACTATTTAGCTTTATATGTAAAAGAACAATTCATTAACACATAGATGATAAATATTAGATAAGTTATTATATACAAAATCGTCGTGATACTAAACTACAAATAATGTTTTTTTATAGGGTCGGTTCGTGATGTCAAACTTCAACTATCCCTACAAACCTGATATGGTAATATTGATCACATGCTCACTAATGATTGATTTTGAGCGGTAATTCCCGGAGATCTAATGAGAAGCCATGACTAGTGAAATTTAACCATGTCGAGTGTGTAGCAGTTAGTTACTCATTAAAGCCAGCGAGAAATAGTTGAGTAATATCGTGAACTGATTGAATTCAAACATCTAAACACTTGAATGTCAGCTTAGTGGTTCAGAAGTCAAGCTCTTGGCAGGAGATTGAAGGTCCTGGATCCGATCCAGGATGAGATTGTGAATGCACACTGTTGAAGCACTCCATAATAGAACAAAACATCTGTCCAGTACTTCATAGTTTTCAATAAATATCTTACTGAACTTAAACTGATACAGTCTCAATTAACCTACTATAACTATTAAAATAAGTGAAACGAGAAATAAGTATACCACTATTATTCTCGTTGTCAATCATTTGCTCAACAAAATGATAATAACGAAATAAATACATATATGTTCAATGATCTGAAAGCTATTCATTATGATAAACACTAACATTTAATATTAATAAAACTTATACGACTGTTTAAAGTTCATATAGACTTAACTCTCAATAAAAAATGGTATTGAATCAGTTAATATATATTCATGAATATAAGAGCTGAAAAACCAGAACCGACAGTTTAAATAGTACCTTATACACAGAGCGAATTCTGAATCCATTACATATCGAACTCATAATGATAATTATTATTACTATTATCATTACTGTTATTACCAGTATTATTAATAATGATTTATTCAATATTAAAATTTAAAAACAAATTAATAGCATGAATATGAATGAATTGTGAACGAGACGTAATCCTAATACATTCGCATTCCACTGATTTGTTTGATGTTCAAAATATTAAGGAAAACCAATTGATTTGTGCCAGACTGTCTAGTTGTAGAACAGATAAAGAAAAAGAATACTCATATTCCGTGATCCACACGATTAGTTCACCTCGATGACATAATTTAGCATTAAAACATCCTTTATGGTTCACTAACAAGTCATTAAATTGGAACAAATTGACGAGACGATCAGCTTTAAGATAAGAACTGTGGGATTTGAGCGCGAAATTCATCCATCTATATAATTACACAGAGTTGTAACGTTATGCAGTCAGTTTGAACTTTGCATTACAATAATACGGTATCTAATAGACAGTATTTAGATGTTATTGAATCCTATCATGTAACGCGTATAATGCATTAGGATTAACACATATCAAAATGGGTCTACTATAAGAAAACGAGCGTGAAAAAGCCCTAATCCTTCAGATAATGACAAATATGTTATTACCTTTAGCACAAGCCTAGTAACGTTTTCTGAAACAGATAATGTTAGGAGTAAACTTACAAAACACTTGCTGCTGGATGTCAGTCAGTCAGCTACAACGTAGGATCAAGCACATATGTCAATCGATCCAAGTTGCCATACCTCATTAGAACAACAAGATGAACACTGAATTCATAGAACTGGTTAATTCAGTGGTGGTACTATATAAAAGTAAGATAGTACAGGAAGAAAAAATTAGTTCATAGAAAGAAAGATATGAAGCGATTTCAATCTCACGGTTTGAGGGAAGACAGAGAGTATATACATCGACGCTAATTTGATCGATTCTGAGCCATGTCACCCACAGTATCCAACCATTGGTTACGATAATCACGCGGACCCCAACCAAGTAGTCTGCATCTTCCAACATGGCTCAGACCACAAGTTCGGGACTTCAAGCACAGATTCCATCTTTTGGTTTGGACGCCCCTAACTTCTTCCCAACCATCCCTTACACTAGTCAGCATTGTAAGGCGTGGTAATCGATGTTCAGGCATACGTAATCAGTGGCCCAACTATCTCAGTCAATGAAGATTCACAACCTCGTCAACTGATTTACCATCATTCCCTAATACCCCACGTCTAACCTCACTATTACTTACCTGGTGATCCCAATAGATGCGAGCAATATTTCTAAGACATCTGTGGTCAAATATTAGTAGCTAACGAGTATCTTCTACTCATAATGGCCACATTTCGCAACCGTAAACTAAAACAGAACGAACTGGCACTGGATGATTCAGTCTCTAGTTTAATAACGAGGCGTACATCAAGATCAATTAAGCATCGATAATATTGAGAGTGAATCAGACAATATATATAAGCAATTAACCGATATGAGTTGTAAAGTAGAGTCATCTGTGGGCTGTTTATCAAAACATGATCTTCAGTAAAAACTAAAAGCACCATCACCTCTCAAACTGGTGTCGTCGAAAAACGTGATTTCTGAGGAACTTGAAGACACTAAGGTTTACGGACTAAGGTTATCTGCATAACTTCTATCTCGTCGTCGAATGAGTCTTTTGAATATAGTCGGTTATTTATAAAGAACAACATTTTAACAAGACTTCTATATAAAATTGATCAAAAGCTGTTGAAATGAAAACATGAGCATTTAGGAAGATTTATGGTTTATAGGATGTGAACCGTAACATATTTGTTTCTTAGTATCCCTAAGTATTAGAAATTCATTCTGTTCTATATTTTGGGCTCGTATGTAAATTCGAGATTCAGTGGAGTCGAATAGAAAAAACAATTAAGTAAGTGATCGCCATCGTTTCTGTTGTTAAATAATGTATTATCATCAGCATAACTAGAATACATCGACGTTTGTTCTTTAGGTTTGGTATTTTCTAGTTATGCTAGAAAAATATCAGTAAATATAGGGTCTCTTTGGATGAGCCATGGAGATAAACCTGTCTATCAATACTACTTCTCATTAAAGTGAAACAGGATAACCGCAGTAATTCTTCCAGTCTCTTCGGAAAGTCAATCATGTCAGGTGACAGTTTATAATATTAATAGTCTAGTCTAGGAGAATATTAGTGACGGAAAAATCCACAAGAAAAAAGAACCATGTACTTTTTGCATAATATGATCGCATCTATTCTCTATTGGCAACGTTAAAACTACTTCAAACTATGAACAGCTGATTTTCTCTATATAGGCATAATCAACTGAGTAAACTTTCAAGTGAGCTTATAATGTACTGATGCGATTATCGTTAAAATGGGTCTTATAAAATTTTTCGGTTACGGGATCGTGATAATTTTATTGCTGACTAATACCTATTATATAATTTGTACCTCAATAAACTATTATGAGTATAAACAAATGAACAAACTGTGCAAAGAAAAACTAATTAATTTCACGTTTGGAGTTGTAGAGATTGTTGAATTTCATTGCATTCATGAACCGATCAATGTGAGACCACCATTGAAAACCTGGGAGCAATGGACAGCCGTCTCGTTTTAGTACAGGAATCCTCAGCAATGCACATCAACGATCCCAGACGCAGGATTCAAACCCGGGACCTATGACCTCGCGCGAACACTTAAACTCTAGACAATCAGGCCGACAGCCATTCGTGTTGATGTCTAACATCAATCGATCCACGATGTTGCGCGACCATCCTCGATTGTTTTATAATTAATAATAATAAATATATGAAGAATGTAGAAAACCAAAGTAATATATATAAGGAGGACCAACATAAAAAGAACAAGATAAATTCTCACCTTTTTAAGTTACATATATACAGAGAAAAAAAGATGAATATCAAAATCAAGATAGATTATACAATGTGGAACACCTCAAAGATCTATGAAACAGAAAAGAATATTTATGAACGATTTCTTAGTTACGCTGCTCACTTTGAGTTGTGCAAAATAACAAGGTGTGCTATTGCAGTGAAACTATTGATTCACCAAACACATGTGAATATTTATTCGGTTGAACATTTTCTACTAGATTATACTAACTGATGACTACATAGAGGTTAACTGAAATGTTAAATGATCATCTAGTTTAGAGGTATAAGTACTTTGGAAATAAGAGCGATGGGTTAAATCGTCCAATAACTCGACGGTAGTTGGTAACTGGTGATTAAGAAAACATTATCTGGGTTTCATGATTGTTAGAATTAACCAACCAAGGGAATTTTATTTGTCACAACATCAATGTAAACATATTAGTTCATAAATTTTTAATTAAATCTATTCGAATCCAAGCTTTTTATTCAGTTTTCTCAATTGAAGTCAATTAATATTAATCTATTTTATACGTCGTTATCTTTTATACAAATACCTGTGACAATTTGCTGTAAATCGTTAGATTGGAAATCTTTTTGTTTTACACATAAATTAAATAATTTCGATTTGATTACTTCAGTGTCATCGAAGAGTTTCATTTCAACTCATAACTAATGGAAATTCTCTTTGAAAGAAAAAACCTTTTTAGTTCTTAATGGTTTTTTGTTACAAATTATCAAACAAGGAATACAACGTTAAAAAAAAAACACAAAACTCACTATCATCATATTGTGTAAATAAACAATTTAAAAGAGGTTGGAAAATTTTCTTTGGATCATTCGGTTGTTTAATGATTGCACATAGATGTACGACAACTGAATTTAATTTTTATTGTTTTGAAGAGAAAAAAAAGAGAAAAGAACGGTGAACAAATGATTGTAGAGAGAAAAAAATGGAGTAAAAACAACAACAGTAATCACAATATGATAAATATAGTATATATATATAAAGCCAAATATAATTGAATTCATCATCAACCTGAAACAATTTGCAATTTACGCTGTTTCATGTATGAAATCTAAAATTACTTACTTATTTTGTAATTTAAATTTTACCAAATAATTCATTTGCTTGAGTAGTTCAGTTTATTTACAAATAATAATTAACATGAAGTGAGAAAAAGCAGAACGAGAAGGCAAATAAGCATAGTTCTACTATTAGCTAGTTAAAGGTAGTTCGACAGAAAACATAGGATCTAAATTGCGTGGAAGTTGACACACACAAGGGAGGGAGAGCATAAATTCAATGTCTTCTTCTAAAATTCGATTGCCGAAGTCACTCTATACTTCATTTCTTTTTCGACACTTAATCTTTTCAAACTAAAGCTGATACTATTACTACTACTAATATGCTAGGATTTGTCTTGAAATAATTTTATCCCCCTATATTAATGTTGTAGGGAAACGTGAACCGATGTACATATGTTTCATGTCCTATTTTGCGTATAATGCTGAAGATGATGAAAATTCTTCATGTTTACACATGTTCCTGATTTAATATAGTTCTCGTAAAGGAGGAGTCTTTCAATAAGTCAATTGTGAACAATGTCGGACATAATCAGAATGTGTCGGTTCAAGTTCATAAACATTATATCCTGAAAAATTAATAAAACGAGAAAAATGTTGAAATGTGATGAAAACAACTGAACTGGAAAAGGAAAATAGAATATAGCAATAATGAATAAAATCTCAAAAGTCGGAAATAATGATAAGACTTGAAGTTTTGAGGGAAATAAAGAATACAAGCTGAAGGCCCCAATATGTAGTTTGGAGCAAGGTTTCAGTAGACCTGGGAGTGTTTCGCGCACTAGAGAATTGTTGGCCATGGTGACGCTTGAAGAGAAAGGCAAAAGAGGATGTTTATAGTTGAAGGTAGGAGTAGAAGGAATAATAGGGAATGAAGAGACATATTCATTATGAATACAGTGATCTTGAGTGTTGTTAGAGGTATGAGGGTAGCATCATCTCCCGGTTACGCACACCGTGGAACGGTTGTTCTAGAGATACCCGAAAAGAAATTTGGTTAGAGTTGTTTCGAATGACCTGAGAACGTGACCGCAGTGCCCAAGGAACAACTGTTGGAGGCCGGTCACACACGACCTTTTTGTGAATAATTCCTGTGTTAGTTCTGTACTTGTTGAGACCCTACCGCCAGAGATTTAACTTTGTGAGGAAAGGCAAGTGAATTTTTAGGATCTACCTTTTCTAACTCCATCCTTCCTTTAAGGAAGGCAGCATCTCTGTTCATGTACTGATCAGAATAGTGCATTGGAACAGACAGGCGAAGTGTTTGTAAAGTATGTTTTAGACACGTTGATCTGGTAAAGTGGCAACGAATGATTTGGGAATTTCCCTAGAAATCAACTTTCGCCCCCAGAATTGATCTCTCAGTAATTCTACTAATCACCAACAATGCTTTAAGACGTCTATGATCTAGCTTTAAAAACTTACGTCTTTAATTTTCAAACGCCGTGTTTCATAGCTGTAAACCATTAGAAAGTCTAGTACTACAACATCATACTTGTTTTTCGATAGGGAAATGGTACAAAGTACGAAAACATAAGTGGTATCGTCGGGTATTAACTAGTTAGAGCTGATTAGACTTCTGAAATAATGCGAAGTATTTGGACGAACTTGCAAATTCAGCGAGTTAGGCATATATTCAATAGAAAGACAATTTCAAAGTTAGCTATTCGGTGAAATGTAACTCAAACTTCTTTCTACATTTTTTAGTTAATCTAGATAGACATAATAGGAAAATAATCACATGAATAAAAACTGATGAAATGTAAGTGTTTATTGTCCTGGTCACATACAATGAGTGCAATACAAAACAGGATTGTATATGAATGGAATGTATTGACTTTATTGTATTTTATTGAAAACATAAACCGGTCTAAATTTAAGTTTGGCAAACATTTCTTCAGAACGTTGGCACGTTTAATAAGGTCATAAAAAACAACTTTATATTTATTGTTTACAGTTATTCCAAACTATTTTTCAAAAACATATATATATATATATATATATATATATATATATATATATATATTACTGAAATGCACTCAAGGTTAAATTATTACAAATTATATCAAGTAACAAAGTCATGGTTAGTTTCATAGTAAATTCGTTATTTTTTAAATAGGATCTTCATTAAGAAATTCGCCAGAGAGCTATTGAGATGTTGTTGTCAGACAACGACATAGAGAATTCACGTGTGGAAATCATTATCTATGTTCAGATTGTTATCATCACCAGTAAATGACTACGAATAAAGTGATTTGTTTGACAGTTTACCATAAACAATCAGTCAACATCAAAATAGAGCCTGACACATATACGTTCACCCAAAATGATATAGAATACCAATATGGTGGGATGAAATAAAAAGTATGGTAAAATATATTGGAATAATGCATTAGCAATGACAATGAAACAGACTAAATATATAGAATGTGATTCGCAAAAAAAAACTAAGTGGAAAATTTGTGTACAAAACAATATGATAATTCAAGGTAGAGGGGAAGATAAGGTGTGAATACATTCGTGTCATTATGAACGATTCTAAACCATGTCACACAAAGACACTAGACACTAATCATCGTTATCACGTGGACTCCAACCAAGTAGACTGAATCTACCTACATGACTCTGACCAGCAATCATGGAATTCGTAGGCTGATAGCATGTCATGGTTTGTTCTCCCCTAGAATCCTTACATCAATATACAATGCATGTCTCCGTTAATAACTGATTTGTTCAAAAACTATGTACAATCATGGTTAAATTAAAAAACCTTTATGGATTGTAAAATGCACTTTTTTTATTAATTTTGATAGTAATACTAATTAGATAATAAATTTTAACAAATCAACATCTAATTAATTAACATTTTATTCGGTAGTAAAAGAGGGATAGATTGTCTTATTTCAAACATTCATTAACTATATGCTATCAAAAAGCATTCATTCATAATTTATAATGGGATAAAATTTTATTGGTCCACTATTTCCTTATATTAAATCAAATAATTAATTACATAGTACAAAGTAGATAGATACATCAATAATTCATTTGAAAAAGCAAAACAGGTTAAATATGATGCGGTATACAAATAAACTACTCATTAGTAACCCTACAATGTATGATATAAATTACAATCGGTTGTAGCGGTCACACTTCAAACTAACAACACATTATAAACATATTCGTAACACATAAAAAAAGGCTATATTTGTTATTTATTATTGATATACCTGAAAGAGAGAAGATTAACAGTGATAAAAGTTATTCAACATAACGAAATCAATGTGATTGTGTCGGTTTTTTGCAAATAAAAGGATAAACGTTAATTAAATTAATAGAGGTATAAAATGTATCTAGCATGATTACTACAAAACAGGTTATGTTAACCGACTGAAACACAGCTATTGGGCTTCAAGTTCGAACCTTATCCATTTACTTTCATCCAGATAGTTTTGCATAACCAGCTACCTAGTAGTCTTACACTGGAAATGATTATTTCTGCGATACTGGTTGGAGTGTACAAACATTTCCAATTCATGGTGTCATTTTGCTTGCCTTTCACCATTCTGGATTTAACCATAGTCACAATTTCTTTCATATTGGGCTCACAGAAATAGTTATTGCTAATTTGGGTGTATATGGTATATTTAACAGATCGACATCTAAAACAAATGAATTGTATGATTTTTGTTATAAGTTGAGAGAGAATTAGCATACTAATCAGGTTGGGCTGAAAATTCCATTACAAATGAGAGCATAAATCATTGTAGGTAATACCTTCCTGCTGTTTTGACTTCAAGATTATATATATATATATATATATGGATTTTGGGTAGAGAAAAATATACATAATAAAATATCCAGACTAAAAAACCAGGCTACTCATCAATTGATTACAGTAAATGAAATCGATTCTCCAATTAAATACAGTTGAGTCATTCCCCGTATATTTGGTAGAAGGTAAGAATACTGAATTAAAGTGAAAACGAAAAATACTCAATTCAACAGTCAAATCAGTATGCTGACGAGCGCCAATGCGCACATGAGTAAATATAGACATACACATCTGTTCAAATGAAAGGAAAGATGGTACAACCAATCCTATTCACATATAAACTAAGACATACATATCCCTTATATAAAACTTCGAAGTTTTCTTATATATTCAACTAGAATTTTTTTCGAATAGTTTAGAAATTATTCGTGAGTAACCAACATTCTAGTGATTAGGTCAACTCCCATAGCTTTTGAAATAGAAAATATACCAACGCACTTGATTTTTAGGATGACTGAGAATAACCAATCGAATATCAGTCAATTAGGGTGTAGCATTTATATACGAAGTGGATGGAATGCAGTTTTGAAGTGCTGGTATTTAAACTTTATTATCGTAAAATTAACACTCCTAAGGTTGAACATTTAAATCTAAACATGCTAACTCGAACACTTAAAAAAACATCATCTCTGAACTCCGTGGCATCTTTACCTGTCATTTCCTGGCTACAGCAACATAAAAAGCTTTTTTCAATAACCTAACATCCCGTAAGTGATCTACAGTTCAATCACCATCAGAATGAGTCAAAATGGGAAATCTAGTCAAGAGCATAACACTTGGTAGCAAACAATCCTTAAATCCGTCTCAAATTCAACAATCGCTATGTTTATTCTGATTTGGCGGTTACATTTGTTTTAAGACGGCACAACTTAATTCTACCGTATTTGCTGCAGACATCTAAAGTGAGACAATTTATCATAACATAAAAAGATACACATTATCATCTAATATTTCGTAATTTATAAGAAAAAATCAGTCATTAACCACCCTCTCTTCATTCACCAACTATTTTACTCCTTATTGTGAATCGCTATCGTTCAAATGATTCCTTGGATATTTTGCTAGAAGCAAATTTATGTATGATAATATCAGAATCTTCATCGAAAAAAATTAGGCCTGATAAACTTAGCGAGATATTGTTTCTCTTAATTTTATTTTTTTCAAATAACAGACTACGTTCTTTATTCATTGCTATATTTCGTTTGTAATCAAATTTAGGTTTTTATATAGTTTCCTCGTGTGATATAATACTAAACTCAATTGTTAGGCTTTTTCAGTTAGATTAATAGAAGAAAGACATCTAAATGTTGGTTATAGAGTAATAAAAAAACCTGGTGTTTACGAACTGCATTTTTAAGAAAATAAACTATCTACTGCTAACTTGTAGAAGCATTAACTTGAAATGGTTCATATGCATTCACTCAATGTCTTCACCTTAGACCTTGAGTTTTAGAATTGTTACCAAGTTTTCTTTCCGTTAGTAATTTTAATTATTTGTAACTATATTCTATTGATCGTAAGGGTCTATGGCAGTGCCGCAATTGAAAGGTATATCAGAGCACATTAATTTTGTAGACGCTCTACTCAAACACTACTGTTCGAGCCAGAGCTCATGGAGAACTATCATTGGAATTGGTTACTTCAAATGGTGTTTATCAGGGTTATTTGCTATCTTTATTTAAATTTAACTTTATCATAGACATGCTTTTAGAAATAATACTTTCATCGTCTGACATTTCAGATGTTGATCTTCTACCACGATATTCACTTGTTGACTTAGAATACACAGATGATATAGATTTCTTTGGGGAAAACGCTGACAAATGCAGTCTTTTGACCAACTTAAACAGAAATCAGAGCAAGATTTAGATGTGACCTAGTTGTGGCATGCAATGTCTTAATCTAATACACTGTATAGAATGCACGAACCCCCCCCCCAACTGGCACTTTGAGCGAGAAATGATATTGGGGTATCAATAGTTGAGATCATGAGTCGATTGAAGCTAGACAGACATGGAAAACCTGGAGTCAGTAGATGGCCGTTTCGTCCTATTTTGGGATTCCTCAGCAGTGCGCATCCACATCACCTCGCGAAATTCGAACCCAGGACCTATCAATCTCGCGCCAGGCGCTTAACCAACTAGACAACTGAGACGGCATCCATTCTATGCCTGATCACCATTATATACTCCTTGTGTGGATATAAGTAACTAACACCACAAGGGTACTAGGTAAAGATGGCAAGTTGATTGATGGGTAGTCAATCTTCATTAACTGATGTGTTTGGAACATGTGTTATGTATGCCCAATCGCCGTCTACCTCGACGGACAATGTTTTCTGGTGTAAGAGTAGGCTGTAGGAAAGCTAGGGACGGCCTAACTAAAACATGGCATCAGTTCATGAAGTCACTGACAATTAAACTCAGCCATGCCAATAGGTGTAGACTACCTGGTTAGGGTTCGTGTGATTGTCGTAACCAATGGTTAGAGACTTTGAATGACGTGGCTCAAAATCGCTTGTAATGGTACAAGTGCATCCGTTCTTTGTCTTTCCCAGAATTCTGAGATTCTGAATTCCTCATAACTATTTTCGTGTTTTGTTTTCATTAATCTACATTTTCTTCTCGAATTGTATCTTCGATGCTTTATCTTTCTTATTAACACTGATACTGTTACTACCTCTACTGGTCTGGTATTCAGTTGGACAATTTCATCTCTCTGTGCTAATGGGGCATGGGGACTTGAACATATCTAGATACGTACCAAGTTGCCTGACAATGTAAGTTTAATTTTTTTAATAACTACTTATAAGACTGTCGCCTTCATTAGTTTAGTATTAATTATCATAATATCATCTCACTATGTTTTTGGAGTGCGGGCAACTAGGAGTGACGACAACGTAATTCCACGTCCTACATTACTGATAGCTGAGTGTGATTGAGAATTCACGCCGGATTGATACATATGTATGTACACACATGCATTGAAATTTTTCAATTATTTCTTACCAAAAGACAGACTGAAAATTTATAGGGCTAAATTCGGTTGAAAGACTCATTGACAGTGTTACAGTATAGTGTGAAAAACAAAACTATAGCAATTACAACTAGTTATGCGCTTTAGTTCGTATTTACCACTTGAGAGGATCTGAAATACCATTGGTTCATTCGCTCTTTTAGTACACTATTTCGTGCCGTTTTTCAATGACATTTTTGTGTTCCATATATATACATGAGTTCAGTGCTTATTCGTTCGTGCTCCCGACTGTTTGTGAAATATACAATTCTTTCAGTTTAATCTAGTCTTCTTCTAGTTAGCAGGGCTGAGGCGCAGTGGAATAGATTAGCCTGTCCTGTTGTGTTGCTGACTTTCATTCCGTCCTCCGTTTTTAGGTAATATTGTAACTTCCTCAAACATAGCAAAATCTGACACAAAATTATGCTTCAAAGTGAATAGTCTCTCTGGATGGATTTACAATCTGAATAGAAGTCAAAAGGTGGAACGAAGTAACGGTATTTATTTTACTTGACTTAGTATTAGTAAACACTAACAATCAATATAGAGCAAAAAAATCATAGATTCACACAATTTAATGTACATAGTACCTGTGTTGAAGGATTAATAATTCCTTATCACTTAATTATTAGAACAGAATGAACAAGAAATATAGTTGATCAAATACCATTTATATACAGAATACGGTAATACTATCGAGTTACTCATAACTGATAAATATTTAACGACTTAGCCGATCAAAAATTCATTTATGTAAAGGAAGGAAAAACTGTGTTATTTACAGAGATTATTCAGATTTAACCCAACTAACAGTTATCGACATTTATTTCATAGTGAGGATAGATGTATCAACGAACATTTTCCGCATCATAAAAACAATGAATTTTTTTCTTTAACTCTAATAACAACGAAAACATATTTACGTCTATAGTATACAGATTTTGCCAGAATTTTATTAGTATAATAAAGTATTTTAAAAAAACTTTCAAAATGTTCTCAAATATTTCCAACTACTTATAAGTAGATAGAAAAATATAGTCGAAAAAACATGGGTAAATGAACTCATCAGGTTATGCGAGATTCCATTGACTTACTTTTCGTCTGTGAACAGTGTAGTAATAGAGATAAACTTAGGTGCACACCATAAAATGCTTTAATTAATAATCTAGGGATAAAGTATAGAACAAGTTGTCAACGTTTAATGCAGACGGCAATCGGAAATAATATTTTTGACATTTCGTGACTTAGTGTAAAGAAATTAATAACCGGATTAAATTAACAAAAGTGTAAATAGTATAAGAGAGACGAAACAAAATATTTTTGGGACAATCAAAATGATTTTTTCAGGGTGATTTGTTTATGTGAAAGCTGATTGTTTGAATTTATATGATAGTGGGTGTGACTCAATAGCATCCATTAGACCACAAAACGTCAAAAATTTAGTTTTATCATTTATTTACTCATTTAAGCACACAAACATTGATACAAGGAGGCACCGAATAGATATGTGCCACACTTCGCCATTCCATTTGCATGAGGGCTGGAATACTGCCCGGGCGCCAAGACCGAAGCAGACGCTTTTCTTAGGAGGCCACTCCCCGAGTCTTTGACATACAGGTCTAGTCCACAAGACAGTGGTGCAGCGTTAGGAGTAGTCCCATGATAGGCCGTAATCAACAATAGGTTCATACGTTATTCCTTTATCACAAGATTCTGGAGCCCATGTACACCATTGGTTTGGAGTCAGGGTTTTCCAACTTCCCTGAGTGGACTCTCCGTGTCCACCAACCCGGTTAAAGCACCAGACATTTGCTTTTCGTCCTCTCAATTTTGTAAGCAACACCCCCTTCACGAGAAGGAATTCCCTGACAGTGGCTGTATACGCGTAGACATATGAGGACTTGACACGCATGACATCGGTCACAACCCAGTGATCAACCAATTGTGATTACATCTCAGTCCTACAGGAGGTACAGGTACACCTTGTTGACGAGTGCCAAGTAGCACGAAACCCGGGTCCAGGGTTTCCTGTCGACTACCTCCAACCACCATCTGACATGTGAGAGCATTTCTAAAAGAGCGAACTCTCCCCACTCTCGGTCGTACCAGAGCATTAGGGAGATATTACAAATATATCATTATTCCTATTATTAAAAATCTACCCCATCCTCAATCAATTAGAAATCAACAACTCAAAACATGATAGTGACACATTAGTCGAATGCTTAGATGATTACGATACGGTTGGACGGTGAGTGAACTAACTAAATACTATAAATTGATTGAAAATTTAACAAAAAATAAGAACCATAGGATTCTGGTACACTGAATTTAAGGTAGTGTTAAAAGTAAAAAAACTGAGTTCGATTATTTACCCAGGTGTACAGATGCATGTATTACGATGTTGTTAAACTAGGACAAAATATATACAGTTCTCTATATCATAGTTTTTAAGGCTTAATGATACACATCATATCTGCATTGTAACGTGTAAATCTTCACAAAAAAAAAGAAAAAAAAAGAAAACAATGTTTTATGAAAAAACTTACATAAATTATCTTTACAGAATTTATTTTTTTCAACTTGACATTCAATTATGATAACAGGATCAAGGCATAAATCATTTTGTTGATTGTTTGCATTAAATGAATATGCAAGTATTGAAATCTGTGAAAAATATAAGTTTTAAAATGAACATTTACTTTGCAAGAGTGAATATTGGGTTGTAAAAGAAGAACAACAACAAAGAAAATAGTTGAAGAACACGCACAAATCGCCATCTTGATATTTTGAACTATTGTAATTATCCTATGAACAACTTTTATATATTTCATTGCAGAAATATTAAACGCTTAAACTACTGCTTTTATACTCGTCTATATGTAAGCGTTTTGTTTGACTTATAAATTATCAACAGAATGAGGGTTTGTCGAGATTGTAGTAATTTAAATAAATGAAATTAATGAGCCAATTAAAGCTAGACCACAGCTAAAAACCTGGAAGCACTGAAAGGCCGTTTCGTCCTAGTATAGTATAGAGGTTAAGAGCTCGCGCGCGAGAACGAAGGTCCTGGGTTCGAGTCCCATGTGTGAAATTGTAGGTGTGCACTGCTGAGGAGTCCCATTCTAGAAAGAAACAGTCGTTCAGTGCTTCCAGATTTTCAGTGGTGGTCTAGCTTAGATCGACTCATAATTAAACTATTAAAATTATGAATTGTTGCAGCCATTATTGGATTATTTTTCTGGTAAGCGTTTTTTTAGCGAGTTAGTTTTCTACGGGATGGGGACGCTAACCCCATGCCCAACCTTCCTCCTTTACCCGGGCTTGGGACCGGCAGTAACCCTATCAGAGCTACAGGCTACGAACGTCAAGGCAGTTCTACTGTATGGAGCTGAAACTTGGAGAACTACAACAACCACAATCAAGAAAGTACAAGTATTTATAAATAGCTGTCTACGCAAGATACTCAACATCCATTGGCCGGATACCATCAGCAATAACCTTCTGTGGGAGAGAACAAACCAACTTCCAGCTGAAGAGGAAATTAGGAAAAGACGATGGAAATGGATAGGACATACATTACGCAAATCGTCAAACTGCATCACGAGGCAAGCCCTTACTTGGAACCCTGAAGGGAAGCGAAAAAGAGGAAGGCCAAAGAACACATTGCGTTGGATTATAGAAGCAGATATGAAAAGGATGAATTACAACTGGACGGAGCTAGAAAGGATTGCCCAGGACAGGGTTGGATGGAGAATGCTGGTGAGTGGCCTATGCTCCTTCACGAGGAGTAACAGGCGTAAGTAAGTAAGTAAGTAAGCAGCCATTATTATTGCTTTTTAGTTCCAGAATTATGATAAGTCAATTATTTCCACACTACACTGTTTTAGTATTACTTATGAATGAGTTACGCATACACTGTGATTGTCAGTGGTGTTGGTATGTTGAGGTGAGGTATTTAAAGTACATAAGTGTACAAGTTCCGAGTCACGAATGAATACAGTACTATAGTGATGATAACTGCTTACGTACTTCGTTTTCTGACTAAACACTGGATTGGAAAGAGATTTAAGGTCTGAGTCGTTACTGGTTGATCATCGCGTCATTAGTAAAATAGAAAGTCGTCAGTCCTACAGTCATAAAGCAAGTCTCAACAGAATTTAAATATCTATTTTTTTGATGATACAACGCACATAAAACATACCTAAATATAACTGTAATTTACAGTATTTAAACAAGTGTAATTTTAAGCATGAAATTGTTTTATTTAATTACCTAATTGTGTTACGAGAGATGATTTAACTATGATGTAAAAAACGCTCGATTTTATTTAAACATATCGATTGAATGTTTGTTAGGTATTTTGGTTTATTTATTTTCGTATTATCCCAGTTCCAAGCTTTTATCTGAACTGTACATTACTGATATAACATTCTTCACTCATAAACTAGGACCGATGATTCGTGTACCCGGTACTCCATTTTTCCAATAATTTGTGTCGTTCTTCTGTGTTAATACTGTTATTTATCTAGTCTACCGAGTGGTCTGATCTTATATGTATGTAAATGAATGTCTGAAATATAATGACCATCTTAAATTGGAGATAATTGGTCTTGTGTTACTCTTCTCCGTTCGGGGCTAGTTAGTATTGGGCCAACCATCAAGAGTAGAGTATCAGCTCTCTTGTCTCTGTTGGTTATTGGTTGCTTAAAGTTATCTGTGCGCAATGGTCGGTGCTGGGATATAACAAATTCATTAAGTCACAAGAAATAATTATGTGGACAAGAAACAATCACTTATGTTCGAGTGATTGACTATTCACAAATTATATAGGTTGGAAATGATCAACAAGAAACCATGAACCTATATCTGTTCCATGCTGGCAGTAACATCAAAACAGGCTTTATCTCCTATCTCAAGTACTAGACGGTACAACACTGATTATTTTTTTAGTGGCCGATTAGGTTGTACAAAAGTATGATTGATGCATACAAACTGTTTTGGATTTCATCAAAGAGAAAAGAATTTTTTAAAATTCCCTAAAACATATGTTGATACCGTAAATGTAGGAAATCACTTGTAATTTGAGTAGATATTTCACTCGGATTCTTTTAGAAGATAGGACTTTGATTGCATTTAAATTATTTTGAGTTTAATTATCCGTTGTTGGACAGAATAAGATGTTACTCTTAATATTCACCAGACAATCTAATATAGAAAAATACAAACTAGCAGATTTTAGGCTTTTGTTGAAACTAATTTGTTATTAGAATGCTGCTTAAGTTGATATTCACCTTCAATCCTAAAATAATGTTTCGAGGGTTTTATAAATGATAATATAGATCATCTGTGTAAGAACTTAAGTGTGAATTTGAACAAATAGTTTCTCAATAGTTAGACTCCAAGTTTCTAAAAGACATTGAAAAAGAAAATTATTTTTGTGAAGGTCTCACAGTCCAATATCGAAAAATAACTATTAAGTTGCCCTCGAAAATCTGATCTGAGCTTCTCTCCTGATGAGTTATTTTTAATTTCAGCCCCTGAGATTTCTACAAATATGATATCCATGTTAATAAATCTTGTGTGTTTACAGATTGTTCAAACAATGATCGGCAATAATGTGTACAGAAAAAAAGATAATAATTTTGAAAATATTTAAAAGCAGACTACTTACATCACTCGATTTACAGTCATCGGGTAAAAGAGAAGAGTCTGTAATCAGTACAGCTCGGGCACACCAACTATGAAAGAAAACAGAGTTAATTATGAGTATTGAATAACCAATTAAATTTGTATAGAATACTAGGATGAAAGTGGATGCTGTTAGGATGCACGCAAGAGTCAAACCAACTACTGCATGAGAAAGCTAAGAGAGGAAAGGAAACCAATTGAACTAAACTGATTCATAAGCACAAATATCCATTTGCATATGTATCTACTTCTTAAAAATAAAATTATTATTTCGTCAATCACATGCACCTGTCATTTGACGATTTTTGATTGGCTGACTGTATCAGACACTTTCAATTAACATTTCACAAACAAGGAACGGTGTTAAGTCAATAACGAGGATTTTTATTTTTATATCTTCTGTTGTGACAAGGCAGTATCACTTTAGGATGCTTGTTATATTTGAAAAACATCTTAATATCAGGAAAACCTATTACAGTTAATAAAGCAACTTCGCCATTGAACTTTACATTTTCTGTTATACAACAAATCCGACTGGCATGGTAAGATCCCAAAGAATAGGTGTACTTAATTATACCTGTTAACCGTCGTTGAGGAGCAAAGACCGTCAACTAGCATTCTCCATCCAACTCGGACCTGGGCAATCCTTACCAGTTGCTATTCATCCATTTCATGTCTGCTTCCAATTCTCGACACAGTGTTTTCTTTGGCATTCCTCTTCCCCGTTTCTCTTCAGGATCCCAAGTTAGCGCACGCTTCATGATGCAGCTTGGTGACTTCCCCAATGTATGTTCTATCTCACCTTCAACGTCTTCTCTTAATTTCCTCTTCAGTTGGAAACTGGTTTGTTCTCTTCTACGTTAGGCTGTCGTTGATGGTAGCCGACAAAAGGACATTGTGTATCTTTCCTAAACAATTGTTTGTAAATATTGGCACTTTTTGATGGTTGTACTAGTACTCGAAGTTTCAGCTCCGTACAGTAGGACGGTCTTGACGTTCGGATTGAAGATTCTGACTGTGATATTGGTTGACAGTTGTTTTAAGTTCCACATGTTCTTGCTTTGCCGATCCTCGCCTTTACGTCTGCATCTAATCCTCCTTGTTCATTGATGATGCTCTCTAGGTACGTGAAAGATTCCACCTCTTCCAAAGCTTCTCTATCAAGTGTGATTAGGTTGGTAAAAAATAAGTGTACTAGACAGTAAAGATTGAATTGATCGTCAATATAAGCACTTACGACCAATCCTCTTAAATTATCAGCTATGGTTAGGGCATGGGCTTCCGGGTAATCGATTCACTCAAATATTATTTATAAAATTATGTGCATTGTTTAGAAATTTTAAAATACGACCAACAGGTAGTATTAAAGATAGTGATATGGTAAACCAATTAGAAGTAGCCTAACGAGAAAGTCAATCGATGGCAATCAGCAGTGGCCTACAGGACAAGTGCATTTTAATGGCTAAGAAATGGGTTAATTTCATAAGGGTTAAGGTGATATATATATGTACATTTTATTTGATACTCCAACATCCCTTCTCGTTTATTCTTGTGTTCAGTGGGGGGTTTTGGCGTGTAGTAAATCGGATATCAGTATCAGATTTTGGACGCAGTCCGTCACAATAGATAGTATTTATTTAATAGAAAATAACTGAATTTAAGCTACTTTGATAAAAGTAAGCAATCAAATGAACTAATTGATGATTAAAATTGACAAAAACACATGAGAATCTCACAAAATAGGTATATAAAGACAACGATAAAAGACTATGATAAAATACACACAGAGGTCAATATATTTGAAATTATCAAATCAAATCTTAGATTATGGTGATGGAGATATGTGAGTAAATTGAGGATAGTTTTTGTCAAGGAGAACTATTGCGAACAATATATCATTGGACGACTATTTTAGCCTATCTTGCCGATTTTCATTAATGAATACATATGAGATTGAGTCTAAGATTTACAAATCTAAAGTTATGGTGTTCGCTGCAAAACATGAAGGCTCTAGTGTATACAAAAGTGGGTGAAATAACTATTCAGTGAACATCTATGGTTCGTAGTGATTCTTCAATTGATGTTAAATTATGAGAAAGAAAATTCTTCAAAACTACAAATTTCTCCAACAAGATATACTAGATTACACGTATTTCTGTCTCTTTTTTTTCATACCACTGATAATATTAAAGATAGATTTAAATGTCGTTTATTGCAACCATTAAAAGCGTAAACAGTCAGGACTGTGGAAAAAAACTCACAAACCTTAGTCTTTTCGTTTGATAAGTTCAGACACAGATAGTTTAATTCACCGCACAAATAATTCAAATAACAACTCAACATTCAATTCTACAGGATTTCATTCAACAATGAAAGATGTTGTGAATCCCATGAGTAGATTATTTACTTATTTAATTCACATAAAATTTAGGACAACTGGTAGTCAAAAGTAGTATGTGCCATGGAAAGTAAAATTCGTATGCGAACTGAGATAATTCTTGAGCGTTCAAACCGAAGCAGTCGGTTTTATTAGTCCACTCCCTAACCATCGACTAGGAAGTCTAATATACAAAGGAGCAGAAAAACGTCAGACGTCGTCCTATGGTGGCCAGTGACCAAAAATAGGTCTGTACGCCAATATTCCCCTGGGATCCTGCAGCTCATGCACACAAATATTGTTAATAAGGGTTTTCCCAACTCTCTTACGTTGACTTTCCGTATCCACCAACCCTGTTTGGGCGCTAAAAGGTCTGTTTACGTCCTTTCAATTTTGTAAAGAACACTCCAATCAAGTGAGTCCATTGGCTAGGACTTCCCTGGCAGACACCGTAAAAGCACGACTGTACGAGAGCATTTGTGAACAGAGAGAGAGAACTCCCACTACTCTCAGCCACACTACATCACTCGGGGGTAGTTTTTCATTAAAAAACAGAACGAACAACAGATTTCTTAAATGTTATGCGGTATTATAAACTTTAGTTTCTAAAACTCATTTTTATTTCATAAGGTAGATTTAAGTGGACACTAAGTAGTAAAGAGAATTGTGTATATGACCATAAAAAAATAACAGTAACAGATCCTAGCGTTATTAGCAAACAACTTACTGATTAATAAAATCACTAATCCAAGAATATGGTAAACATTCTGGACATAAAATAACACATTTTGTTTTTATTTTTTTACCATTAGATAAATGAACAATGAATTCATCATCAGTATTATTCTTTGGCATTGACGACGATGATGAAGAGTCAGCTCCTGTCATTATCTGTCCATCTTTCATATTGGTGGTCATATTCTCAACGGACTGAGTTACTGCATCTACCTCTGAATTTATATATTCGATTTTTTCTACTTTACAACCAAGGCAAAATGTCGTACCGAAAACAGCTGACATTCTGAAAATATTATTATTTGTAAACACAGAGTGATAATACTATTTTTATAGAAAATGAATAATTCATTATTTAAATATTCTTAAAATACCCTCTAAGTCGTAGAACAATAGGCCAAACAAGAGAATTCTTTTGAAAATGTTCATTTTCAAAGCTGTAAAAGTCTAGGCATATCCAATTGAAAAATGTACTATTCAGTACACCTATGTACCACCCCACTGACGTTACTACTGAATGAAAGACAATTTAGCACAGTTGACCGATGTGTATTTACCAAATCACCTACTCCTAAGGAGTTATGTATGCAGAGCGTTTCATAAGACAAATACTACACGGGGGCCGAGACAAGAACAAATGAGGCACTACTCAAAAACTAGAACCTAACTGATCTAAATTATTATCCAGATACTCAGACTGGAAAAACTGGGGCATGATTTAAGCTGAGAGCAGCTAGCAGAATGTTGAGTGATTATATCACAGAGCAATATTTATGCTGAAGAATTTTTATCAGAACTATATGGTAATCGTAGGATAGGCATAATAAACAGTATTTCTATGCCATGAAGCGGATGTAGTTTAAGATGAGTACAGATGAGGAACATAAACTCGTTTCAGTTAATAAAACATGGCAAATAGCACTGACCGACAGTATCCTTGAGTTAAATCTCCACTACCATACATTGGCCACAAAATTGGATATGGTCCAAATCGACCCATAGAGAATAACAATCGTCGAATTCTGAAAATGGCCTATTGAAAGTAAACAAAGATTTTAAAAAATATGTTTGCACTTGTTAAACACAATGTTTCAAATGTGAGTTGGATTTAGGAAAGAGAAAAGAGACCTAGTCACTAAGTTTCGTGTTAGTCAGACTTGTAAACAAGGTAGTATTTGTGATTTTCAGGGAAATAAAACTTTGGTTTTATTTGAACTCATATTATAGTAAGATTTTATCACTGGTTATTCAGATAGTGAATGATCTCATACAGGACTGAAAATGTGACCAGTACTAAGAGCCGGACAACACGACATTGATTTCAGATATGAATATATACCTTCGGAAATACAAAAACAAAAACGTAGTTCCTCAGAGGCAGGAAAACCCGAGTTATATTGCTGGGAAATGATTCCTAACCCCATAAGGATAAATCTTATTCCAGTATAATCAACAATAAAGCATTTCATGAAACCTCAAAACTTAGTGGAGTTTCTTATAAAGTATGATAAGATGATTTGGATTTAGAGTTTCCGGTGAACTTTTTTATACAGCAAAATTAGGAATTGTAGTTTAACAATTAAGACTTGTTTTTCAACAGTCGGGTATCGGGTTTTGGTTGAAATAAGTAAATAGATAAGTGATTATTCCAGTTTTTCCATTGATTAGGAATCAGAGTTAGATATACTAGCCTGTAATAAACTACTGTGTTGATTGAATTTAATCAAGTAGAGCCTCAGAGGACAACTGATTCAACTGGCAAACGACGACAAGGTTATTGTCATAGGTAAATCAGATGCCGTGTTTAATTCCCGTTCACGATGGTGTACTAAAAATGGTTCACTAAAAATAGTTCATTGTCTCCAGTCGAGAAGCAGTAATATCATGGAAATTAAACTCTAATTGCTGACGTCTGCACGTTTTATTTAGACCAACAGTTATATGCCTCAGGTTGGTCAGTTCGGATTCACATATTGAATTGTTAATTTTTGTCATAGTCAGAGTCTGAATTCGTAGATTAACTAATATGGGTACACGTTATAAAACTACTGCATACAATGAAAATAAACCACAGAAAAAGACCCATACCTAACACCTGTATTTCATTCACTAGCTTAATCAATGGTTAATAATATCTAAGCTCACTTCGTATTTTAGCTCGAACAACCTTTTATCGGTAGGCAGCAACGGTCACATATATAGCAACATGTTACACACCATATAGAGAATTAAGCTTAGAGATTTTTTGTATGGTCTTCTGAGAGGTATTGCTACGGCTTAAACAGATGAGGTAATGAGTACATTAAAATCACGTGAGATTTTTTGGCCAAAACTGAAATAATCACAAAAAGTAGTCTGTTAATATTACTCTACACCTTTAAAATGAAAAGTATTTTGAGATTATCAATACAACAAAGTAGTCACATCATTTCCATGATGAAGTTGAGTATAATGAAGAGTTGAAACAAGTATAGTTAATATACTTCAGTAATTATTTCAGTTCCTCCCTATCATATACATTTAAATAATAAATGATTGAATGAATAAGTTACTGAAGAAAATTTTCCATTTGAACAGCACTACATAAATCAAAATTCCACAAAATACATCAGCCGCCACCAAAATTTGTTAGGTTACCCTAAGAAATCCATCACAATTAAATGTAGAGATTATAGAAACATCGTAAGAAAATGGGATTTCCATATTTTAAAATATCAGTAGTCGGTGTTTTCATACAGGTAGACCAACAACAGTTGACCACTTTCACTGGCGTGAGATTTAATCAAATTTTTGAGAAGGAAACTCGTATGCCTATAAATTTACCGTTGCCAAACATAGATAAACGTTATCATGAATCCATTTCCAATTAAACTGAACAAAAACCACTTAATAAAAAGTCCACTCTTAATAAACAATATACCTCACCTCTTTAGTTTTAATCTGTTGATTACTGAATGATAGATTAGTTATTAATAACTGTTGGGTAAATTTATCAAGTTTACGTTTTTCAGTTAATAAGTCTTGAAAAGGTCGATCTTCGTATGCTTAAGAGAATTCATTGTCAAAGGAAAAAGGTAAGCAAAAAAGAGAAAAAACTCGATGAGAAGTAAACAAATTAATCAAATGTACAAATACAAATGAATCGATATTAATTATACTGCAATTAATTATTGCATAACTATTATGATCAAAATAGAATAAAGGAATTATGCAAACCAATGACAATAGACAGTTACATTTATTAAAACTTTTAAATTAATTTTAAAATCGAATACGAATATTTAATAGATAAACTGAAAGAATACGATGTGTATAGTTCAATAGTTACGTTCACTTCAGATAGAATCGACAGAAATCCGTTTCTTAGTTAAGAGAAAAGTGTAACAAGGAGGATTCAAACCAAGAAGCCATAGTGGCCCGACACTTAAGAATGGAAGTGGCTTAACATGTATAGAATAAATCTTTCACCACAGTCAACACAAGTTAACTGTCAACACACTTATCCAAATCAAGTGTATTTTACTTCCTCGTTTTTTGGTGCAAAATAAATATTAATACGGAGTAGTTCTAAGGTAAGGAATGACAACTGATATATACAACTAATGAGTAAGAGAATAGTTCCTGAAAAGTTAGTAGCAAGAAAGGCTGTATTTAAGATGAAGTCACCAATAAAAATGATGACATATAGACACTTCTAACGAACAACGGTTGATGTATCAATGCTACATAAGAATTTTCAGTGGGCTTTCATATAAGGAGCTTAGTAATACTGTGGTGTGCTCTACTTATATACACATAAGTAGTATATAACGATAGGAAGGAATAGAATGTACTTCAGTAGAAGATCGAGAAGGAAAGAACAGGAACGGAAAGCAATTGGTATGAAAATGCAAGTACAATGACATTTGAGACGATGGACTGATATTTGCAAAAGAAACAGTCAAGTTTGAGAAAATGGATTGATATTTTGCAAATTAAGTATTTACTGTAGGGTTCTCAGATTTTAGTGAGATGTTCTGTAATTGCGGGTTCAAGTACATACGATTGTCCCCACTCCTTTTCTTGTTCACTACAATACGAAAACTTAGCGAAACACTTCCTACAGTGGTTTATACTGTCATAAACCGATAGACAGATCCGTTTACACAAAATGTATCACAATGGGGCATCGTGATAAAGTACCAAACACTAAACTATAGTAAGGGAAAATTTAAGTTATAAAGGCCACAATAAAAAAGTCTACGTAGTTTTAACCTGGATGATTAAAGTAAACAATCGGCGATTTCATAAGTCAATATCTGGTTACCGGAATAAAGTTTCCCAACTTTTGGTTGTTCAACATTACAAACTTTGATATGGATCCGAATGACCAAGAAATAAACCAGTCTGCGAGAAATCAGAACTTTACCGTATGACCTATTGATATTAATTATTATTACTCTACTCCTTAACACAACTTAGCTTAATCTCAAACCAAAGCACAAATGATCAAAGCCCTGACGGTTTTCATGAACCCATAAAGATGTTTTAGCATCTGTTGTAAAGTATACCTGTTATTTTGTAGGTATTTCAATATTCCATTGATGCTATAAATAGTCAGTTGTATGCCTTTTTAGGTATAAATATATGTGATATAACAGGAGTAACCACCACTATCATAGTTTGACACTTATTTTATAGACTATACGCTCGTTTAATGGTGGAAAGTTTTAAGCTACATGTTATAAGTAGTTGAAAATACTAACTATTGAATAATATACTACAATAAATCATTTAAATTGTGAATTTGAAGGACATTTAAGATTTCTACTTGCCATATATGGTGACTTAGCCTTTATGTTCATATTATTTAGGCAAAACATGAAGATGATTTTACCGTTTACAATGGTAGACATTGTGTCCAATAGATTTTAGTTACTGAAAATACGACCAGGTTGTATTTTCTCATTAGTGTGGCTATTTGAACGACCCTATCGATCTTCCACGTGTCGATATTAACTGTTGCTGTGTTTGTCAGGATTCCTTCCGATAACGATTGTATATCAGTTTTGTGACTTCCTAAGAATCTCAGATTTTTCTATGAGGCGTCACAACTACTCAATATAAAGATTTTGAACTTTCAGCACAGAGTTTAAATGATTCCCGTTGTTTAAATGACATCTATGTTTAGTGTTCTTTTAATAAGATTTTTATTATGTATGGGGTTGCTAATCCTACACCTAACTCTCCTTTATCTCGGCTTGGGACCAGCGGTAACTTTAGGAAAGGCTGGTTTCAGACAAAGTCCTTAGTCTTAATACTTCTGTAAATACTTTTTTATTTATTTCCAAGTAGTTTGCTTATTTACATTAGAAATGATGATGATGTGATTAACTGCAATATCAGCATTTAATTTAATCTCAGTAATATGTTATACTTTTTTCACATTATAATCAGTAACCCATGTAAAGAAAAGAAATCTACATGAATTATGTTTACATGCATGTTTATTGATATTTATATTGATAGAAATAAGAAAGAATGTACATTTGAATTTTCATTCACAGTTTCTAGTCTTGTGCAATAAGAAAACATGTTTTAAATTTTGATTCATACAAATATAAATTTTTTAATCACCCATAAAATTCTAACAAGTACTTTGTGCAAGAAGAATAACACTAACTAGCTGGTATTAACGTCAATTTATACATTTATTATTTATTTATTTTAACACATAGATATTGGTACAAGGAGGCACCAAATAGATATGCGCCACATAAATCATTCGATGTGTTTGAGGGCTGTGATACTGTCCGGGTGCCCAGACCGAAGCAGGTGGTTTTCTTAGGGGACCACACCCCGAGCCTTTGACCTAAAGGTCTGACCCACAAGGCAGTGGAGAATCGTGAGGAGACGCAGTCCCATGGTAGCCGGTGACCAACGATTCGTTCATACGCCATTTGTTCCCGCAGGATACTGGAGCCCATGTGCACCATTGTTTTTGGAATCCGGTTAAAGCGCCGGACATTCGCTTTTCGTCCTCTCAATTTCGTAAACAACACCCCCGCCACGAGAAGGCAGTGAGTAGGACTTCCGTGGCAGAGGCTGTATACGCGTGGCCGTGTGAGAGCATTTCGAGAGGGAGGGCGGGCCCACCCCACTCTCGGTCATACCAGGGCATTTGGGGGCCAATTTATATATGGTACAACTTTGTTCTTATATGTTTGATCAGTAAATGCCTTACACTATCTGTTTGATTAACATTATAGCGCTCACTTTTCTGGTTGAACTTTGAAATGTTTGTCATGAAGTTAGTCAGTCGTCAGTCAACAGATATTATTTAATAAGGTTGTCTGAAAAGCCATTAAAAATAAAGAGCCATCAGCTATTTTAACAAAGCTCACTCACAACTTTACATAAGTTTGTACCGATAACGTTCCAACCTTATGTTACATCTGGTCACCACTAATTGCTATATCGGAATCGCTTATTACTTATACTTGTAAAACTAGGAACCACTGAAATTCCCACGACGCGAAGTAAGAACATCAAGACTGGTACAAATGCTATATGTCATGCTGAGAATAGTTGAGGTGAATAAATACAAGAATTTAGTATCTTGAACAAACACCACACTCAAATAAATTAGTGTTATACCAAATAAAATATTAGAATGGGAAACAAAACAAATACTATACTGAGTAATTATCTCACATTGAATTGAAAATGAAAGTATTCTTGACTAAAAATCACAATGAGTAAAAGAATGTAATTTCGCTTTTTAATCCCGTCATATCAATATGAATTTAACATACATCAAAACACAATATCTATGTTAAGAGCAAATAAATACATAGCATAAACTTACCACAATATTCTTCATCTTTTTTAGAATGTGTTGTACTGCGTTGAGTATCATTAATGATTAAATGAAAACACCATTCGAAAAATGCACCTAACGATCTTTTTTGATGTAAACTTAATAAACGTGTTTTAAACACGTCAGAACGACAAACAGGAATCTAATAAAAAAAATAAGATGTGATATATCCATATACTCATTAATAATAAAACTGTAAATCAATGACAATAAAATAATTTACTAATGAAGAATTTGAAGATAATTTTTAGAGTAAATATCAAAATTCAAGTAACACTAAAGAGTTAATTCGGTATAAAGGACCAAACAAAAGATTTTCAAGATCTAACAATAACAATGTTACTATGGGGATTATTCAGTCAAAATGAAACAATTTTCACCCTCTAGTATTTTATATTGTAGTTTTTTGTGAGAAAACCATGCAATTAAAACTGTACAACCTCGACAACTTAAATAAAATGCAAACAGTAGAGATGATAACATGCATATGAGTCTTTAATAATTTGAATAAATTTTAATCATAAAAATGTTCAAAAACCAGCTACACTATAAACTAACAAAATTAAACAGAAAATTTGTAGTCACTTACTTTGACTACATGACCCGTAAAATTTGTTGAGGAAGATTGATTATCAGCATTGTTTGAGACTGTTCCAGACTGCTGTGTGCACTGATTATTACCAATATAAGCTAACAGGCGTGATACAAAACGAAATTCTAAATATCTTGTTACATCAGCACGTTGAAGTGCAGTTACTACAGGACTGTGTGAATAAATTATCTGAAAACAAAGAGAGTTATCACAATAATGCATAAACTGACAATATAACTGAACAAATTTATGATAATGATAAATAGAAGTGAAAGATCACTTATTGCTTTGTGATATCTATTTTCATGATTGATTGTTTATTTATTATCATACAGTTCTTAACATTTTGAGTGAATATTTAGTGTATACGAAATAGCAGCTTTAATCCCTAATATTTTCATATCATTTTTGAGTTATCACATTGTTTATATTAGGGACTGACATACCCTCAATCTTTGCAGTCAGTCAGCTACAACGTAGGACCAGGCACATATATGCATCGGTCCAAGTTGCTATACCTCATTAGCACAACAAGATGAACACCGAATTTATAGTAGTTAATTCAATGGTAGTATTATATAAAAGAAAGATTGTATATAAGGATATGCTACAGGAAGAAAGAATTGCTTCGTAGAAAGAAAAATATGAAGCAATTTTGATCTCACAGTTTAAGGGAAGACAGGGAGTGTATACACCTACGCCAATGTGGTCGATTCTGAGCCATGTCACCCACAGTCTCCAACTATTGGTTACGATAGTCACGCGGACCCCAACCAAGTAGTCTGCATCTACCAACATGACTCAGACTAGAAGTTAACGACTTCAAGCACTGATACCACGTTTTGGTTTGGACGCCCCTAACTTTCTTCCAACCATCCCTTACACTAGTCAGCATTGCGCATCGTGGTAATTGGTGTTCAGGCATACGTAACACGTGGCCCAACCATCTCAGTCAATGAAGATTTACAACCTCATCAACTGATTTACCTGCGTCTAACTTCACTATTATTTACCCGGCGACCCCAGCAGGTGCGAGCAATATTCCTAAGGCATCTGAGATCAAATACTGGTACCTTACGAGTATCTTCTACTCTTAGTGTCCACATTTCGCAACCGCAAAGTAGAATCAAACGAACAACAGCGCAGCACACTCGTCCCTTAATTGAGAGGAGGATACCTCGCCTTCACCACAGGTGACGTAAGTTTGCAAAAGCCAAACGAACTTTCTGAATCCGTGTAGAGATTTCGTTAGACACCAACTCATTAGGGCTGAGCAAATTTCTAAGATAAGTGAAGTTGTCGACGCGTTAGACTACTTAGTTCAGGTATGGAAGCAGGTCAGTCCTAAACAACAATTGGTATTTATAGGGGGAGAAACACATCCTAAACATCCTGGCACTGTTGTCCAATGCTACAAAAAGACCGCATTTTACCAGCGTCTTCACCAAACACGACTGTCATCTGCGTATTCTAAGTCAACAAGTGGACTTCCTGGCAGTATACCAATTCCCAAAAACTCAGTAAACGAAAACATTGTTTCCAGCAATAGGTCTATGATGAAATTTAAAAAAACTGGAGATAAAGTACAGTCTTGCAGGACACCACTTGCGGTTGCAAAATCAGATAGTTCGCCATACACTGACTCGACTAGTAGTATTCAATCTTTGCTGGTATATTTGTATCCTATGAGGATGGTCTTGGTACGGTCACTATGATGGTTATGTGCCAAGAAAGACTGATGAAACTACAGTTCTCAACATCAACAATGGGATAACTCAAATTCTTAATAAACGTCGTTAAATAAGTTAGCGAATATCAGAACTCACAAGCTCAGCGGATAGTGGACTGGGCGTTTAAAGAGAAAGGTACTGGGTTAAAGCCCGCTATAAACATCAACATTGGGAGACAGGTACGTCCACCTGACAAGCCCCATATGTGGTGAAACGCGCATCCCGGATTTTCATGTTAGACACGACCTATCTAATTAATGTACTCAGTTAGTCTCTCGGCAGCTTTGAATTCTGATATTTCTTCAGTTAGAGATAAGTTTTCTAAGTAATTAGTTTAAGTAATTTCAGTAGTTTTGTTATATATTGTCCAGATATGAAAAGTCAAATCAACAATAATCCAACACCTTAATGGATATAGTATAATACAGTTGCAAACTATGGTCAATTTGAAACACCTTATCGAATATAATTATTTTAATAATGAAAAATGAAATCTTGATCAATAATTTAAAACATTCTTCTTTTTTTCTTAGAAGGAATTCGTCAAAAATACTTACACCATTATATCAGCCGAATCCATAAGATACATAATCCTGTAAATGGTCTTCACAACTAACTTTTAAATGCTTTCACTTAACTGAGACAAATCATTGTATGCATTCTGACAAGACTTTAGCAGGAAGAATATAATATTAAAATATCTAGAAAGCTAACCTATGGGACTGTAATCACCATTACGTTACATAGAAGTTGAGTTGAAATTTCAAGTTAACTAGACCCTAAATAGATATCGACTATATAAATATTCGAATGATTGCTTTTAGACAATTTATAATTAATGAAATTCTTCAAAATTTAATAAACAGTAGAACTGGTTAAATTCCAACTGTACTGTTGTAGTTAACTCACACACCTATTAATTATAATTTAATTTCTACCAGGTAATTTTTCTTTCGATAGAAGACAGTGGTATCTTTCACAGGTGTAATCTATGATACAATTGAATGGCTAGGAATAAATTTGTTAGAAAAGTAAACTATGTTAAGACCATAATATTGCTGAGGTTCAATAATGGGACAATAGTAGTGTAGTGAATGAATAATTCGTAAAACCGATTCACTGTTTTGTACACAATCACACTACCTCTGTAAAATATGAAAATCATACATTAAATACATAATTTGCACGTCTTTCTTGAAACGTCTTTTATACACTCGATTCTGTTGCTGTTGTTCTGTTTTTCTTCCTGTTCTCTTCATTTCAATTTTCTGCCAGTAAGCATTTCACTCTCAATTACCACCACATACTACTTATGTCTGTCCGCATAAGTAGTGCACATAATAGTAGTGAGCGCAGAAGTGGAATTTCGATAGATTATGGTTTGCGAACTAGACTGATGACAAGACACAGGTTTAGGCTGTTATCTGATTTAGTAAGAAACACTTTTTCCACTGCAACTGCAAAGCTTTAACTGGTTTAGAACTATATTTCAACTACGGAATCATTCTAATAGTTGAGCCAATTAGTTTGGACCAATTATTTATATTTCATGTACTCAGTTTTGAGCCAAACACTTTTCCCCTAATAGCTAGTGATAGTATTAGTCAGTACAAACAAAAGTTGTTGTGACGGTATTCGAACACGCAACACGATTGTTGAAAGATGAGTGTCATCACTCATATTTAGAGACACAAATAAGTTTTATCTGATTATTATGTTTCAAAGACATCACATTAAAGGAAACCATGCCTTTCTGTGAGGTAAATAAATGGTCACCTGTTGGGCGTTAACCAAGTGTTTTTTAGTAAAGACATAGAATCGATTGAAAAAGTGTACATCGATCTTATATGCACTCGTGAATTTAGCTGAACGTTAAGAATAAATCAGATAGCATAGTGATTGGACAGTAAAATTTATCTGAGTTCATTCATATTGTACGTATGTATAGGATTTGAACCGGTGATCTGGAAGTTGGAAGTCGAGTTCCTACACCAATAATCTAAGTCTAATTTATACTTAGGGATTTAATTACAACGGCAATAACTGCTACCCTGACGTAGTGGTCGTGCTTGACAATTGTGATGACTTGATCGCACTATATTGGATGAAACACTTGTTCCTTTAGGTTTTATCACGACAGGGAGGTCAGTTGAAGAGAAGTAAGGGTAAAAGCAGTAAAATCGAGGTTTGAGAGTGAAGTCATACTCTTGACTGTCATGAAGTGTGATGGCAGCAGGGTGTTCCCCTTAAAGCAACTAACGTCTGCAGGGATGCTGACTTCTTACAGAAGGTTAGAAAATGTTGGGCCTAAGAATAACACATTACATTGACCCAAGGTACGGAGCTAGCATATCTGAGACCACTGAAAAAAAACCTGAGTAACGAGAATCAAGCCATACCACAGGTTCAAACTCCACTCAAATTACCTTACTTTCAGGCCTAGGTGAGTACTACTGGTCCTTATATGGTGTGACTTAGTGCTTGGTACATAAACTTATATTTAGAAAATGAGTATTAACATTTTCCTCACATTACAGTAGTTGCTCGAAAGTTCGAGATACTATTTGGTTGCCAAATACAAAGTAGGGAAAGTAGGGTAAGTAACCCCCATTCGAGTGCTTAAAGTACTGAGTCGGCTTTACGCATGCTTTAAATGAACGATTCCCTTAGCCGTGGTAAACAAAAGTGATACTAAAATTGATGAAAATAATAGGCTTAATAATTAATGGTTAATACACGTGTACTTAACAATAACATTAACATTACCTTTGGTACTATGTCTATATCATGTAGGCGCACAGCGTTTCGTAGTTTAGACCGAGACCATAATTTTTGGCTCTGAACAATCTTATCAGCGTCATCAGATTTTTGCTCAGTTACTGTAACATTTTCATGTCCATCCCCATTAGATTTCTCTTGTTCTTCTCCAAGCTCGCGAACCACACTAGAAATCTCAGTGCTAATATGATCGTGTTGAACAGTGATATCACTAGGCAATGCCATTGTGCTTGGTGAATCATTAATAACTTTTCTGCTCACACTACTGTAATTTTCAGCATCATTATCATCATAGGTATCGAAACTGTCGTCACAGCTATCACCAATAGTAGTAATAAAAAAAACAAATAACAGTACCGAATCTTCGTATCACTACAAAATGTGTTAATATTGGCATTAAACAATTAATTTACAACTTATGAGAGCTTATGAGAAATCAACATGAGTTGGCTCAGTGACGATGACTTTTTACATGACTACATCTTGGTTCTTATGAACTCAACAAATTATCTCCAGTTAGTTACCATCCGCTAATACCGTTTTAGATCCTATTTTAATCTATTTTCAGTAAGTATATCATAAGTAGGTATACGAAAACTGTATTTTATTAGACAAAAAATATTTCAACAGTAGAAAGCCGATGTTATGTAATGGAAAAAAGTTTTCACACCTCCTAATTCAAGGGTTTTGCGTTGGACTATCTGAAATGATATTGAACCAAATAATAGATTTAAAATTTAAAAAACACCAAATAGCACTCACCCTAGAAACCATTCTGATGACCTGTGAGTGACCAAAGGAGACTCAATCTCACTGAGATCTAAACAATTATCTTTAATGATTGGAAGACTTTTGGGGCAGTCAGGTTCCTAACAAATCATAATAGAGATATTTAAAGTAAGAAATGAACTTACAATTTGACTGAGAAGTTTTTCGAATTCAGGGAATCGTAAAGATGCAAGGACTCCACCATAATAACCATTTCTATGGTACGTTAACATACAAATCATGAGTCCAAATTACCTATCGATATGAAGAATTTGTTTCCCCAATATTGATAAACTTGCAGAAATCAGAGATTCACTTAAGCCTGGAATACGAAAAAAATGAGTTCCGTGAATCAGTACAAATTTCCAATGAAGTCTTAGGTAAATCACTGGGCTATAATCTGTGGAAGAATTATCCAGATTTAGGATAACAGGTCTTGGATTTTGGCGAGGAGTTCGTTAAAGAGCATTTCAGCGTTTTAGCTGATATCAGCTAATAATGAAAACCCTAAAACAAACTCCTAAACCCAACAATCAACTGTAAATCACAATCTTTATTCTTTATACAGGTTGATAACTCATTTAGCTTTACTAAGTAGGTGGACATTAGCATTACTCAAAGGTCGTCCGAAAATTATAGACTCACCACTCAAAGACTACGCGGGACTGAGTCTGATATGCGCTCTGTGATTTACATCATCTGTTAAAAATCCGCTTTTTATAATAAGAGCCGAAAAGAACCTCAGTGAATCTAGTCGGACCCATGAGCAGACTTTAAAACTTGTGTTTGTTTTTCCTCAACAAGCCATGAACTCAACAGTAACTAAAGAAACTAGACTGATATAACAGGCTAGCCTTTGACCGCTAAGACTATTGTTTATACTTTGCAAGCATACATATCTGTTTTTAAAAAAGGTATTATCGTGCTGGTTTTTGGAAATAAAACATGATGACCAAGCTGTAGACAAAAGAGATTCCATAAGTTAGACACCCTACGCGAATCTTTTTGCTTACCAACTGCATCGCAACTTTTTCACACTACAAATAGGCACTATAAAGAACCTTTTACTTCTACTTCACAGTGTAACTAATCGTGTGATGATCTACAAATCATTTGGATGCAAGTAGAAGTCAGGAACAGGAAACCCTACATATACAAATAGGGTAGAATGCTTGAAAATAAGTAAGAGGATCAAACAAAATGGTGATATAACGCTGAAATAATAAACAAAGGTGTTAAATCTCTATACACTAAACATGATAATAGCCATATGAAGGAGAACGCTCAGTTAGCTAAATACCAAACTAGTTTGGCAGAATACAGGAAATATGCGCAAAGACCATTTAAAATTTAGACTATTTTCAATATTAACAGTCAATGGTGTAACGTCAGCACTTCCCAGCATACCTGTACCGTCAATGACACAATCAACCCGCTCCGGGAAATCCATTCGAAAACGTTAACACCAATAACCCTGACAAAGGACACGTTAAAGTTGAATGATTCAAAGTCCAGTTTGACATTTATTTGGTAGTAACCTGCGTAGCCATTTTCGTTTAACCCCCGCTATAATTTCAGGGACCGCCCATCGCTTAAACGCTAAGTTAGTAACAAATAGTGACTTCGATAAGGTCTCCCACTCTGGTCTTTAATTCAAACTGGGACGTTTTGGAATCCATTATACAGTAGAAGATTGGATAGGTAACTTTCTCCGTGACAGGAGACAAAGGGTAAGGGCAAACGGGGCTCTCTCCTCGTGAGTACCTATAAAAATATGTATTGATATAAATGAGTGCAGAGAAAATAGCGAGACCACCACCGCATGATTTATTCAAGCAATAATTTCTTGGTAAATATGTAAGGTTATAGAATGACAGGAGAAATTACATCATAAAGTGATTAGAGATTTCAAATGTCAAAAGAGGTTGCGTAGTAATCGGGAACTTAGATAGACGGAAAACGTAAATAACGATTGAACCATAATCATGAAAAATCAGTAAAGGATAATAACAGGCAATTACGGTTTAAAATTTCAAAACAGTAATCACAGCAAGACAAGACCAAGATATATTGCTGAAGGGAGTTATTAAAACGAAAAGATGAGAGGTTTGGCTCATCAATTTTGCACACAGAGTTCGGGCCCGAATTAATGGGCCCCTGAACCCTCAGCGCATAAAATTTACAATTCCGTCTCTGGAGATAGACCTGACAAGCTTATTTTGTTAAATAGTTTTTAATATCGTTTGTATTTATTTTTTCTATCTTTCACTCTATGTATATTTATCATTAAATGGCTGTACCTGTCGTTTTAGTGAATGACCTTGAACACACTTTCCGTTGTGTAACTACATAGCGTGACATACTGTGCTTGTTAACAAATACATTGCTACACACATATCCCTCGTTCTATTTTCGCTTGTGATTGAGTTGACTGAAATCCAAATCAAATATTACCTACATTTATAGACTGTGAGTGGGAATATACCATACCTTACATTGAATTACACTACTGGAGAGTTCGTCAACCTGATTGGAATTACCAAGCATTGATAATTGTGGTTTTTCAGTACCAGACTAAAGCTGAACACGCATCAATTTGGTGAACTTAAGTAAAGTCCCAATTTTTATTGTATTTGTAACAATTAACTGGTATATATTAATATTACTATTGATCTTTAATAACTTTGTTGATACTTTTCACGTTTATACATCGTTGGTTCACCACACGTTTCTCTTCATTCCAGTGCTTCGAATATATAGTTTATTTTGGAAGGTAGTCTTCTATAGACCGATGTGTTCAAAATTGACTTGGCGTTTCTATATAGAACCGGTAATGGCTTTGCATTCTCCGTTCAAAAGATGCACACGATGATGTCCCGGGACGTGTTTAGAAAGTGGTTGCTTTGTGGGATTGATGTAATCTGCTCAGCGGAAGAAAATAAATTTAAATATCCACATCAATGTGTCCCAAACAGAATTGTATCTTTAACAGATCCATAAATGGTATGCCGGCTTGAGAAGACAATACGAATCCTAACTGAGTATAATGTTCTATTCAGGAACTCGATGTTCTTAAAAACACTTTTCTTTTAAACTGTTGGTTGTTATTTATGGTGTTATCTTGGTGTTAGGTTTATATCATACAGTACAGATGAATAGCCATTTTTGACTAGTATCCGTCTGATATGAGGTTATTCGTTATCCATTCTGTCATTATAACATATTCGTCTAGTCGTTGGGGATAAAATGTGAACAAGCATATTTTTCTACTCAATGGGACCAGAAGTGGTCAGTGTAAATGTAAATGTAGATTTTTCTAGGTAACCGCCTGACATTCTGTTCAAGGAAACGAGATTCGTCGCACGCACATACTGCTAATGTGAATTGAATTCAGTAATGATAATTATTGAATCTATTCAATCTATCCGATATAAATAAAACTTCAAAATTACTAGTTGAAGTGCCTTATTTTCTTGATTAACCAAAAAAGATGAGTCAAGAGGAGTCTCAGTGGTGAATCCGCAGATTTATGATCTGATTCAGTATTAGCATTTTTATCTTTGCTGCAATAATAATGGAACTAATCGCAAAATCGTAGATTTGTTATAAAGTGAACACCAAATCTAGAACTTACTTACTTACTTACGCCTGTTACTCCCAATGGAGCATAGGCCGCTGACCAGCATTCTCCAACCCACTCTGTCCTGGGCCTTCTTTTCTAGTTCCATCCAATTCTTGTTCATTTTTCTCATGTCTATCTCCATTTCTCGGCGTAATGTGTTCTTTGGTCTTCCTCTTTTCCTTTGGGATTAAGAATTCCATGTGAGGGCTTGTCTTGTGACGCAGTTGGGTGCTTTCCTCAATGTGTGTCCTATCCACTTCCAGCGCTTCTTCCTGATTTCTTCCTCCACTGGGATCTGGTTTGTTCTCTCCCACAGTACGTTGTTGCTAATAGTGTCCGGCCAACGGATCTGAAGTATTTTGCGTAGACAACTGTTAATAAACACCTGTATTTTCTGGATGATGGCTTTCGTAGTTCTCCAGGTTTCTGCCCCATACAGTAGAACTGTCTTGACATTTGTATTGAAAATCCTGACCTTGTTGTTGGTTGACAGTTGCTTTGAGTTCCAGATGTTCCTCAGTTGTAAATATGCTGCTCTTGCTTTGCCGATCCGCGCCTTCACATCTGCATCAGATCCACCCTGTTCATCAATGATGCTGCCCAAATATGTAAAGGTTTTTACATCTTCCAAATCTTCTCCGTCAATTGTGATTGGATTGGTGCATTCTGTGTTGTATCGGAGAATCCTGCTTTTCCCTTTGTGTATATTGAGACCTATTGCTGCTGAGGCTGCTGCCACACTGTTCGTCTTCTCCTGCATCTGTTGTTGCGTTTGGGATAGAAGGGCCAGATCGTCTGCGAAGTCTAGATCATCCAACTGCATCTTAGATGTCCATTGTATCCCGCGCTTCCCTTCAGACGTTGACGTCTTCATGATCCAGTCGATCACCAGGAGAAAGAGAAAGGGTGAGAGTAAGCAACCTTGCCTAACACCGGTCTTCACTTCGAACGACTTTGTCAACTGTCCTCCATGCACGATTTTGCAGTGTAATCCATCATATGAACTCTGTATGATATTGACTATCTTCTGAGGCACGCCGTAGTGTCGAAGAAGTTTCCATAGTGTTGTTCTGTCCACGCTATCAAATGCCTTTTCGTAGTCAATGAAGTTGATGTAGAGTGATGAATTCCATTCAATTGATTGTTCCACAATGATCCGTAGAGTTGCGATTTGGTCTGTACACGATCTATCCTTACGGAATCCTGCCTGTTGGTCCCGAAGTTGGGCGTCTACGCAGTCCTTCATCCTGTTTAACAATACCCTGTTGAAGACTTTTCCCGGTATTAAGAGAAGAGTGATGCCCCTGTAGTTATCACACTTGCTGAGATCGCCTTTCTTCGGTATTTTGACCAGAAGTCCTTCTTTCCAGTCTGTTGGTACTTGTTCCTCATCCCAAATTTTGCTGAAGAGAATGTGGAGTATTCTAGAAGGTCTCGTAGAATTATGGTCTACTATGATATTAGCACTGTGCTAATAATGGACCTAATTCTAAGATTGTAGACTTATCGTGATATAACTGCCTAATATATAAGAAGTCATACCATCGTCTATACCAACTTATCGTATCGTAACAATCACCAATACATGATGTAGAACAAGCTTAGGCTAGAGATAGAACAATATATTGAATATGAATAAAAGACAAAATAGAATTCATCAGGGACCATGCCTGCATGGCCGAGCCATGCCATTCGATCAACTCCAATTAATTCAATTCATTGTTCCTGCCCTATAGGTATTTCTCCGCGTTAAATTTTTGGTATCTATTTCCCGAGTAGTCTCATGATCAGTTTTGAGAACTGTGTGGTTGTGATCCAATGCCACTACAGTCTCACGTTGAAGTCACAACATAGTCCACATCGATTCGTCTTATTGTGACGTCTGGCATTTCTGAGAAATATATTTGAGTTGGGTAGAAAGAAATGTATTTACGTATAGTGACCACTCCTGAACGGCCGAGCCATGCCATCTCGATTATTGTTCTCGCGTTCATCATTTTTAACCATCTTCAAGTGTTACTTGTCAAATGTATATCTCATTAATTATGTTTATCTTTCAAAGATCGTGTTGTTATGAACCAATACCACCACAAACCTACTGCAACTTCATTTTGTCCGTAGAAATCATTATTAAATCCGAATCGCACATTGAGTATTTCGTAGATGTGGCCCATTTAGATAATGTTTTGGGGTGAGAATATTAAAGTTGTCATTTTCAACATGGTCACACCAAAACATAAAAGTTTCTGTTGGTGGAATAATTGTAAGAAGTTTAATCCAGTGAGATCATATTTTTGTTATTGTGGCGGTAAATAAACCCCCAAAATAAATAGCTCTGTAAGTATTCGACATTGATGCTGACCACATGTTTTAATGGACTCACCTAGCTGAAGGCGCTCGGTCATGCATCCGCACCAGATCACGAGTGGGAACACCGTGCTCAACATCTACTGCAATCGCTAGCCAGATTAGATCAGACGATTCTCGATATAATGATAGCATATCATATATATCTACGAACCTCCTCGCTTCTGACGTTTGATTTCACTTGGTAGGTACACTTCATATAGAAGGTGTTACTGGTCAAAGAGTTGTCAAACTCTGAATACCTGTGGCATTTTCACCATTTACGTCAACATTTCTTATCGAATAGACAAAATCAAGTGAGTCATGAGGGTTGTATCTGTTGGTATGATTTCTAATGGGTTTTAAAATTCCAGATAACCATTTAGCAACCAAATGATACAGAGAGTTATCTATATTAAGTATATGAAGTAAGGGGATATCCTTCTTATAGACTTTTGGTAGCCTGTATAGTCTCAATGTAACGGAACACGATAGTCTGAAATGTTCTAAGAAGCTACGAATAATAATATTCCCATCTTCTATCATCCTTAAGATTCTGGTTGATATCTATTAACATCTGGCCCCCACTAGTTAGGGAATACTAGGATGTACAAAGATGAAATTAGCATGATTAGTTTTACCCATACATATATTAAACGTTTTTCTTTCCACTTCTGGATTATGCAACGACTGCCTGTTCCTAGAATTCTACCATCTTGTGAAAAGCGATTAAAAAGATTGAACTTCGAATTACCTGTGGACATGTCTGCTGCAGCCAAGTGAATAAAAATTTCGTGTTGAACTTAAGTGCTCGAGACCGCTCATTTGATTTATGCTAACCCGCCGTGGATACTTCGAATTCGATAATGAAAATGAATAGCGTAGTGATTGAATAGGTTTTTGGCACACTCATTTGTTATCAAACAGATTAGACGGTTAGTTCATTTACCATAATAATCACGGAACATTTAACATTGTGTTCCTAGATGTTACCGTTAAATGTTGGAGGGAAAAAAGAAATTTTACTTAGGTTCTAGTGCTAAATGCACACCTAAAATGTGCTTTATGGGTCTTCACACACCCACAATTCAAGTATGTCATCCAAATCATCCTTGAATTCTAAATTGACTAAATGTGTGAGTCCTGTTTACGAAGACGTTTCGAAAGCAAAAATGTTAATAGCTGTTTGTGGATGATTTTTTCCGTGGTTCTTGAGAGCACAGATGTTAAATTAATTGGCCTATGGTTAAAAATATCACTACGTGATCCTGTTTTGAATCTAGGGATGATAAGAGATGTTTTCCATACAGATGGATAGGTCCCATATTCCACAGATAGACTGAAAGTTCCAAACAAAGTAGTGGACATTCTCTACTACCATATTTCACAAATGATGAAGCGATCTCGTCAGGTCCACCATCATAAGACGTTTTCAAAGCAGCTATGATCTGCTTGATGTTGGAGGGCATAAAATCAATTTTTGATAGGTGTCTAGATGTCAGGAATGGAAATGTATTGGTAGAGTTTTCAGTTCCACTTTTGTAGCATTGCGAGAAGTGCTGGCTGAATTGTTTGGAAATAATATCAGAGTCGTCAAGAGAATTCGACTTCACACGGGATTTTAAAAGCCTAAGTATTGGTAATTCTGGGCTTATACCATAGGAATATATGTAGTGACCGTTCATAAATAATTCTTAGCAGTTACCACTCACTAACAACATCTTTATAATCAAATTATGCCAACCCAGTCAAATCAGAAGTCAAAAATGAAGAGGTTCGAAGATACATTTGAAGGGCTATCGACATATCAGAAATGCCTCAATATTACTCATAGATTGTTGCTAAATAAGATCAAGGACACCAGTGCTATCACGGTCCAATGGACGTGTGCTTTTGTGCCAACAATGTGCACGTAGATATACTTTGTAGCGTCAACAAGGATTATACGAGTTTTAGAAGAACTAACCAAGACTTATAAATTGGCCTGAAGTGTATGTGGATCTGCACCGCCCGTTTTTTATCTCTGGATTTCGACATCGTCGGAGTAAAGTAACACCGTGTTGTAGTTCGTTGAAGTTTTTTGATCCTGTTTTGTGAAATGGATCGACAGGTGCAGCCCTCCAGTTCGTAGGTAAAACACTGGCTGGATAACAACAGTCTCCCATAATTAACTGGGAACCCATGGTTCGGTTCTGTTCTGTTGTTGATGTGTGAGGACAGTCTCTTCGGTTGCTAAAATACAGATTGTGTTAACTGGTTGGGGAATGGTTGCCGTTAGCATAAAGGGACACAAATCTGAATGGAGCTTAAAGGAAGGAATTGACTAAACATTTCCCAAACTACGTTTCTGCTAACTTCACACACCTGGCCAACAGTAGATAAAACTTGAAATATTCCTAGGGACTAAGGAAAGTTTCTCGCTCTAATTTACAAATGTTTTCTCTTTATCGTTAAATATACTAAAGTTCTTGCCTGGAGACATCAGTGATCCACTGCTACCTGGTACGAAAGCTTGTTAAGCGAAAGCTTCTTCTATTCCGTCGAGAGAAATTTGAAATTCCGTTAATATTGGTAGAAGATTATGCCGGAATAGCTGGAGCTTTATCGGAATATTTCAGCAGTGTTTTCTATGAGAAATGAGGAACGACCAACAATTAATTGTGATTGTGGTGACATGTTGATGGATCCTGCAGCTATTGAGAAAGGTAATGTCTTAAGACAAATTCAGCATCTCAAACCTGATAGATCCTGTTGTCGTGACGATATTCACCCTAGGATTATGAAAGTTCTATCGGATGTAATTGCTGAACCTAAGGTCATACGGTTTGATATTTCTCTGCGGCATTCCAGACTGCCAAGATACTGGAAAGAGATGATAATTAGTCCGTTGTATAAGGCGTAGAGTAGAGACTTATTTAGTAACCATCGGCTCGTCAGTCTAACTAGTGTGGTCGTAAAACTAATGGAAAATTTTAATCGGATGGCCTTATGAGCTATGTAAAAGGGCATAATCTTTTATCCAGGGAACAACATGGTTTTCAGACAGGCCTATCATGTTTGACAAATCTTCTCACTGCAAGAGAAGATTGGGCTGAGGCTAAATATTGAAATATTCTTGTAGATGCGATTTCATTAGTCTAAGTAAAGCCTTTGATAAGGTTTACTATTCGGCTCTCATTTAAAACTGAAAAGTTTTGAAATTCAATATAAGGTCACTGACTAGATAAATGACTTTATAAGTGACATGTGACAGAGGGTACGAGTGAATGGAGCTCAATCAGTGTGGGAACCTGTAAAAATTTGAGTCCCTCAAGGTACAATCCTCGGTCCTCTTCTCTTTCTGCTCTATAAATGAATCACAAACTGTAGGGAAGTCATCCATTCTACTCTTCGCCGGTGAAATAAAAATTTGGAGATCCATACTCAGTGTGTCATATAGAGTAGTAATACAGAATGATCTCAACTCATCCGTGGTATGGATGGGTGGATGGTCACTTGAAGTGGATGCTTACAAGGGGGCAGTGATGCAATTAAATGACCATGATGATTCATGTCACTTCACAATACGCGGAGTTGTGTTACTCAAAGTAATGGGCTATAAAATCTAGAAGTCATAAGGAGCAACGATCTCAAAACCGTGAGTAACTGTGAGGCTGCTGCAAAAGCTATGAGATATTATGGGTTATTCGTAGGTCTTCTGAGTATTTGGACGAAGAAATGTTTAGATTATTATACCCGACTTTCGTGAGACCGCATTCGGAATATGGGATTCAAGTAGCGATTCCTTGTTTCAAGTATGAGGCGGATATGCTGGAAGGAGTCCAATGACGAGGGACTAAATTGGTAGAAGGTCTCTCTGGCCTATCTTATGAAGATAGAGTGAGACACCTTAACTTTTTTCGTTCAAATAGTTCAAATGGATCAAATAGTTGTGGACAGAATAGAAGAATCTTTCGCTTAACGGGCTTCCGCGTCTAGTAGCTGTGGATCACCAATACCTACAGGCAGGATCCTAGGTGATAATAGAGGAAAAAAAGAAAATGGTAAATCATGATACGATGTTATCCTTAGTCCTCAAGAATAGGTCAAGTTTACTCCTAAAGGACTCCTATGAAGTCGCTAAGACTAGCTCAGCCAGCGGCGAATTACAGCATTTGAAAACTCTTAAGGAGTAGAAGCTGTGTCTAGTCTGCTATGTTGTGTTTCCAATTTGCTGGGTGTTAATCCTTAGGCTGGTATTGGGACTTAGCTTAAGCAGGTGTTTAAGAGGATGTCCAGAAGTGGATACTGTAGGCCATTAGAAGGTCACCTCTGAGACGCCTATACTTTAATAGGTAAAGGTTAATAAATTGGAGGTGCTCTTCATAAGGTTTTAATTTGAGTCCCCGAACTGATTCCGTGGCTCGCTGTTGAATACGCCCCAGAGTGTCCTTATCCTTTTGGAGCGACGGAGGAAATACTACGTTTTCGTACTCTAAATGGAGACGAATAAAACTGCTGGGGGATTATGTGGAAAGTGCTTCCGTCAAACTGGCCAAAAATGCTCGTTATCTTACCGTAGATTATGGAGTGATTGAATATCGGCTTGTCGTATACCAAACGACGGCCGTAGGATTATTATGTCTTATCTTTTCTTTCCGTCTAGGACTGGTCATTTGAGGGGACATTCTGAGAAGTTTCAAAAACCGAGGTCAAAACGTCTACGTCTGGAGTTTCGTTTCTCGCACCGAGAAGTGAATTATTTAAATTCTCTAATGAGACACGTAATATCGGCACCTTCTGTTGACATTTTTATAAAGAGATTGGACCTTCACATTGTTCAAAACTGCAAGTAATAATATAGGGCGATAGATTACTGAAGATTGAAACCAGCGGATTTTGAAGGCGGCGTCACTGTGTTTGTCGCATTTCAGTGTGTGCACCACTCCTCTGTTTTGTCACTGTGTTGATGAGTCTCGATATCATTAGCCTACTTAATTCTGCAGCATGTGATGATCCGAATGTAATGGTACCTGCAAGTCAGCATCTTACTTCGGTGACTCAATCAGGAGAGAATTGTGATAATATATGTTCGGCCATAGCATCGTGTGTTTTCTCTAACAATGGTAGTTTATCTGCTGATGGACGTTTTTTGGGACTTATCTACCTCAAGAATTTGGTGTTTGACTGCAAAAATAGGCATAATGTTGATCTTAATGTCAAAAGGAAAGTTGAGATGTTATTTTTTGAATATATATCACAGGGTACGGAAAATAGCTTTACCAACCTAGTTGAGAATATTCCACGGATCAGTGGACTTGTCGCTGAGTTTACTGCAAGGTACGTAAAAAACGAGTGGCTCAAGAATGATTGGTCCGACTCTCTGTGGGACAATCTTTTGTGTTGGCACGCATGGTCTTCCTTGCGGTCTGGACTGAAGGCAGCAGCTAGTTTCAGGTTGCCTACACGGCGCCGCGCTTTTAATGCCACGGTCACGAAGTTATTACCAAGTGTTATAAATTGCTTTAAAAGTGCGACTACAAATCTAGAGGTGAATATTGATCCGTGTATAAGACTTTCGAAGTTACTTTATTCGTGTTTTAACTTGGTTGGTAAAAATGACGTAGCTCTGATCAATAAAACAGAGATCTATGAAGATGCTTTTGCGGTTGCCCTTTTGGCTTTGGAATTAGCATTTCAAAGTATGCTGGACGCTGAAAAGTTCCCCCTGATGTTTGTGTTTCGCCGGCGTGTATCAAAGTTATTGTTTGCTTTGTTTTTATCCTGTCCTTCGGAAACCAGAGATTGCGTTATTGAACATATATTAGATCGTATTTTGATCATTGTTTCCTACTCTGGTGATGTACAACCGAATTACAAGGATGCATGTGCAATGAAGTGGCTTTTGGGAATTACTTACAGCGTACTTTGTTGCAAGTCGCCGAAATATGGAGGTCAGGTCGATCTCACTGAACATGGGAAGCGTAAGGTACGTTATATGGGTTTTCGAAAGGTAACTTTTCTGTCACACGGACTGCTCTTTGAAGTGATTAATCGAGTTACCTAATAGTGTATTTCAGAAATCAACCAGGTTTTGCACTTAAATTATATCACGGAAGCACACTAGGATTTAATCTTAGTAGCACAGAGTTATATAAATTATTTATGTTAGTCATATTCGATAGTACAAAATTCAAACCAGTTGCAAGAGCAACTAAGATTACTACGCTGACGTACATCTAGAAAGATCAGGTCTTTAGTGATATTCGACTTGCTTTAGTGTTAATATTGAGGGGAATTTTCTATCTGAACGAATAGGATATAATACTTGGGGCTTATTGAAATGTCTAATTTAGAAGACGTGGCCTAATATGTTTAGTATGTGGTTTTGTGATTCGTGTGTTCCTAGTTTCCTTATTATTTATTTAAACACATACACATTGGTACAAGGAGGCACCAAATGTATATGCTCCACATTTCATCCGATTTATGTGAGGGTTAGAATACTACACGGGCGCCTAAACTAGAGCAGGTGCTTTTCTTAGAAAGCTACTCCCCGAGCCTTTGACTTAGAGGTCTCATACACAAGGCAGTAGAGCAACGTTAGGAGATGGATTCCCATGGCATCCGGTGACCAGCAGTAGGTTCACACGCCATTTCTTATCACAGGATTCTGGAGCACCATTGGTTTGAAGTCGGAGTTTTCCAACTCTCCTAGGTGAACTCTCCGTGTCCACCGATCCGGTTTAAGCACCGGACACTCGCTTTTCGTCCTCTCAATTTCGTAAACAACACCCTCGCCACGAGAAAGCATTGAGTAGGACTTCTCTGGCAGTGTCTGTATCCGCGTGGCTATGTGAGGGCGTTTCCCGAAGAAGAGCGGACTCTCCCAACCCTCGGCAGTACCAAGGAATTTGTACAGTTGACTTAATTTCTGGCTTGTCGTCCAGATAATCTTTTGGGGTTTTTATGTGTATTTTGACTGGTAAACAGGTGTTTTACAGAACGTTTGCTCATATGTAGTCTACACATATTCTAAATAATTAAATAACCACCACCTACCTCGACGAGTAGTGTATGCTTGGAAGAAAGTTAGGGACGACGGAACTAAACGTAAGCTTAGTCCATGAAGTCGTTGATTGTTGGTTTGAGTCATGCTAGTAAATTCAAACTACCTTATGACCTCGACCAGTGGTTGGTGAACTTGTATGACATGGTCCAAAGTCGTTCACAATAGCACTGGTGTATTAACTATTTATCTCCTCTTAGATTTTTAATACTAGCGTCCTTTCATGCATGCCTTCTCACTGTCTTTTTGTAGCAATACTCAGTCTCTCACTCACATTATTGTTGTATTGTTTGTTTCCCGTAACTCATCTTGCTATTTTCCATTTCGTCGTGCTAATATGCTATGGCAACTCGGGTCAGTCGATATCTATGCGAGGCTCTGCGTTGATGGTGATTGACTGACATTTCATATATACTTGGTTGTTCTTATCGAAATACTACTTGCTTTTACCACTCATTTTCTATTAATTGATCAATTAGCAGACTTTTATCAAAACTGTCTTGCATACTCCAAAGTTCACTCTGGAGATAAATGTTTTTACCATTTTCAAGTAACTCCATTAATCAATGAACGTGTATTTCAGCTAGCACTGTGGATGTCTCAGCCTTATCAGTTACCCAGTGGACAAATCAGCAACAAATGGACGTACTTCATGATGTCACTTTTTGAACATTGGTTTATACTTACTCCAAACGAGTTACAGTTTTTCACAAGTGATCCAGAGGGTTGTTTATCGTCGGGTGGGATTTCCAGTATCAGTGTAGGACATGACGCTAAAGCTAATTCAGTCTATGCTGATTTAAATTCTATTTGGAATGTAGATAATCAAGCAAGTGAATTGTGTGTATGTAACATTGAAACAATAATGGGTATCTCTGATAGTTCCCAGCACATGCTAACACCTCAGCCTTGTCGTCAGTTAACAGAACTCATCTTTACAATATTCTGCCGATTATATGAGGAGGCGGACCCAGTGTTATATGAGATAGTTCAGGTGAGAAGTGTAAATTTATATGATCATTATGGCTTTTCCTGAACCTTCTGAACGTCTCATTACTCTAAATGTCTATATACCTTCCTTATTCATTCTGTTTGATATTTCTCTATTTTAATTGATTTTCTTTACATGTACTATCGTAGAGTGGGGGAACCTGAACCAGTTTTGGAGTGAACGCTGTCAGAAGAAATTAAGAACCGATTTTTAAGTCTTTTTATAATTTATCGAAGTTGGCTTGTATGTACTGAGTCTGAACTATTCTTCTATAATGAGACTGTTGGTGCACTCGAAGTGCAATGGTTTTATATCTTGTTAGTATAACCCAGCTATCAAACACTAAACCAATTAAAAACCGACTGTAGATGCCTAACTGATGATCTCAATACAATAGGTAATGATATGAACCACGCTTTTCGTAAACGTATAGTAAGCGGTTTTTATTAACACAGCAGATCATTAGTATAGGTTCATAATTTTCCGTCTTACAATCTTAATTCTTTATCAAACACTACAGTTAGATAAACCTACGCTTGTCTGATTTTAGCTTAGCAATGAACAACTTTCTCAAGAACTCCCGACCGTAGCTGCTACCTTGACGTGGTGGTTGGGCTTATCTGTCGTGATGACTCAACCGAGCTACATTGGCTGAAACAAATGTTGCTTTATGTCCTACTATATCAGGCAGGTCTATTGAAGAACGGTAAGACTAAAAACATCAACTTAAGGTCCGAGGGTAAAGTAGTACTGCTGATTGTAGTGTAGTGTGGCAGCAGTAAGTCGTTTCCCTCAAGCAACCAGGAACTGCAAAGATGGAAGGGGTCAAAAAAAGGTCGACCTTAAAAATGTCACATCTCACCTGACCCTACGGATCTCCGTCTCCTTCGGTAAGGATTTTAAAAGTGCAGAGCCAATACATCAAAAATCTTTCCCAGAAAAGACGTAAGCAACCGGCCTCAAGCAGTTGTCCCTTGGGTTCTTCAATCACGCTCGCATGTTGCTAAAACCACCACTAATTCAAGTCACTCAGGAAAAATATTCTTCTACGGTGTGGGGAACGGGAAATGACAGTCGTCCTGACACTTCTATGAGCACTGAACGGTGGTCCTATCATGATTTTCTTTTAATTTCTTCATATAAGTGATAGGAACGTCGTCAACTGAAAAGATCCCTTCTGGTTGTATTTTTCTTGGCCGATGCAGGCGAGATAACCATCTGCCAACCAAAGAACGAGTTTACTGCACAGCAGTTCTACTTTATGGATGTGAAACATGGCCATTAAGAATAGAGGATATTCGTAGGTCACTAGCATTCTGTCATAGGTGTATTCGAAGCATTTCTCGTGTATTTCGTGACCACCGAGTATAAAATACCTGAGTTAGGAATACGGAGCTAGGTAAAAATGGCAAGTTGATTGATGGGGTAGTCAATCTTCATTAACTGAGGTGTTTGGAACATGTGTTGTGTATGCCCAATCACCGTCTACCTCGACGGACAATGTTTTCTGGTGTAAGAGTAGGCTGTAGAAAGCTAGGGACGGCCTAACTAAAACATGGCATCAGTTCATGAAGTCACTGACAATTAAACTCAGCCATTCCAATAGGTGTAGACTACCTGGTTAGGGTTCGTGTGATTGTCGTAATCAATGGTTAGAGACTTTGAATGACGTGGCTCAAAATCGCTTGTAATGGTACAAGTGCATCCGTTCTTTGTCTTTCCCAGAATTCTGAGATTTCGAATTCCTCATAACTATTTTCGTGTTTTGTTTTCATTAATCTACATTTTCTCCTCGAATTGTATGTCCGATGCGTAGTGTTTCTTATTACCATTGATACTGTTACTACCTCTACAATTCTGCTATTCTGTCTGACAATTTCATCTATGTAAGCTGATGAGGTATGGTAACCTGAATCGATGTACATACGTACCATGCTCTACTTTATGACTGACTGTCTTCAAAACTAAATATATTGATCACTCGCTCAGTCAAATTGATGAAATACTTTTCTGATGCGCTACTGTTGGTAAAACGTAAGGTAATGATCAAAACTTTAGATTTTTCTTGTCTACTTAATGGTCTTTTGGTGGTTATGACATGAAAGTTAAATATAATTTTCCTTGTACATTTTATTCCACGATTTGTGAGCGGTTTACTAAATTGAATGTCTGATACTCATATTATAACTGGGTTTTTATAATCAGATTATTTTCTTTTCTTTTAGTCAGTTAATCCTGGAACAAATAAACCATATATCTTCGAAGCTATTATGAGATTTGTACAACTGTGTTTACCATATTTTGGAACAAAAGCAAATTGGATTACTTTAGCGGAACAGCTTGTAGCTGATGGCTTGGCAGTAGGAAATTCCATACAAGATCGCATAGGGTCACAACCTATGGAAAATGAAATTACTTCTGTTACGATTCTAACTCGAACTCTATCTCTTTTATCGCGTTACAGTGTACAGTGTATCGCACCAGGAGATGTGGAGTTGTAAGTATGTTAATAATGTTTATTATCAAAGTTTTAGAAGAACAAAGCAATATTTTCATTATATATGTATATTGGCCTAAAGATGCAGACAATGACGTTAATCCATCTAATCGTGCTATGAATCTGCACTGATCAATGTTTCACGGATTCTGAACCACTGTATAATATGACTTTATTAACAGTGGGAAAATCGTAGGGTAATAAGAACCTTCAATATTTACTCCATGACATGTGACTAATCTGTAAAGTTTTTGACTGTTAGCTTGAGTTGTGTTAAAAAGCACTGCTCTCTTGGCTGGAGTTAGTAAATCTGTGAGAACATATGAAGTTAGTCGGTTAAATAAATCATTGAGCACCACGTGAAACATCGTTGATACGTCAGATGTTTGTATAACGAGTAAAAGTTGAGTTTCTTTCGATATTTTTAACTGTATGACATATTTTACCTCATGGAACCGTAGAATGTTGTTTCTTCAGTTCTCAGTCATCATATTACCTTATTATTATGAACAGACTGTGTTCGTATGAGGGTTAATATGTAGTCTGCATCAATTTGCCATTACATAATCTGTTTTATCAAGGAAAACAATATAGCCTATTAATATGGGTACACTAAAAGAACTACGAAAGAATATAAGACTGATAACATATTTGTTGTGAAACTTACTGGTTTATTTTCTCTAAATATATTTTTACATATTTTATTGAAATTATGAGTAGTTCATCACTGAAACCTAACTGTAATGATGCTCTTTCACACATCAATCGATTTTTGAATCGTCCATCTAATTGGGATCAGAATGTTATCCAAAAACAATTAATAATGTGCATCAGACTAGCAGCTGCATACAGTCTTACATGGCTTCTGGAAGTATCAGTATTTCCTGAGGATGTTTTGGTGTTACATGCCGAAAATGTACTAAATGGTACTCTTTTTCTAATCCAGGTAAGAAAGATTTTTTTATAAATTTCTTTTTTATGTTGTCAGATCTTCGGATTGTGAGTAGACAAATGAATACACCTATTATCCGTAGACGTATTATAATTTTTATGTGTGAAATCAAACGCGCTGCAAAGATTTTTTTCAGTCATGATTATTTTAGAGTTTCAATTAAATTTGACAGTTATAATAGTTCCAAGGACGATCTAAATATCTATCAATAACGATAAAAATAATGCTGAAAAATCTTCAGTGTTAGTTGTTTAGTGGTAATCGGTAAGAAGCCTTAAACTTAAGTTTCGTGCTAATTAGCTCTCCTCAGCAATCGGAATCGGTAATCTCTGTGGAATCTAAACTCCTACCGTCAAGTGTGTATTCAAAGCCATCCTAGAAGGAAGCTGGCATTAGCTCCGTCATAAATGGCCATCATACAGAGGCACGTATTCTAGTTGTTAGCGTTCATCTGAAACTTTTGAATCAATATCTTCCTTGAGCTTTCATCTTAGATTGTTTTACGTTGTGACTGAATTCATCGTTTCCAGTTATTTAAGATCCGAAACTTATCAAATCGACTGGTTGATGAGAATATGTTTATGCAGTATGTAGCGAAGCTCGTGTTGGCTTGTGCTAGGTTAAGCTTGTGATATGTTGGTTTCTTCAACAGACAACAATTTTGTAGGTATCATTATCAAGGTTTGATTTAATAATTTCGAATAAATTGAGCATTGGTTGATTGTTATAAATAAAAATATATTTGTAATATCCCAATGAGTAGAAAATTAGATTTTCTGACGTTTCGTGACTTAGTGTAAGTCACTTCTTCAGAGAATAAATAACCAAATTAAAATTAATCCAAGTTTAAATAGTACAACGGAACAATGCAAGAATAATGTTGGATCAGTCAAAAACAGGTCTGAACAAGTTGATGTCTTGTCATTTCTGTCATGGTGATTCATAAGTGATATGTATGTAAATTTGTGCGTGTGTGTATGTGTGCATTGTTTAAGAATGAAAACTTATGTGACCTTTATGGTAAGAAAGGTTGTACTATTTAAACTTGGATTAATTTTAATTTGGTTATTTATTCTCTGAAGAAGTGACTTACACTAAGTCACGAAACGTCAGAAAATCTAATTTTCTACTCATTGGGATATTACAAATATGTTATCAGAATGGGTTTGTAGAGATTTAGAAATTTTCACAGGTTGAAATCATGAGTCAGTTGAAGCTAGACCACCATTTAAGACAACAATTTTGTCTAGTTTGGTACTCTTACAGTCTTAATGATTTAACTGACATAATTGAAAGTGAAGGAGTGCCAGACAACTTCATTCTGACCTTTTAAATCGTCAGTGTTTCTCTTTTTTAAACTTCTTTCGGAGATAACCCTGGAATCTTCAATCATTCTACCATAGGGTTACTAAACTGATATCCATTAGTTGCTCTGTTGTAAGTTTACTTAATTCATTTTTTTCGTGTCAAACTGTGAGTTCGGTTCAATTTTTCAGTTTCGACACATTCGGTAGTTCATCAACAAGCGGTTATGAAACCGAATGATATTCCTATCTCTCAATAAGTTGATGTAACTCTGAGCGAACATTTATTTGGTTATTGTGTGACATAAATAATTGACAGGAGTGCTCTAAAAGCTCGTCTTAATTTCTCTTAACAATCTACTTCTAACAATATAATCTCTTAAAAAACCCGTTATATGGTGCTTAGCAGTGACCATTAGTGCTATGTTGTTTTCAAAAACCCTAGATAGTGGATTTATCGACATTCTGTTTAAACAATTGCTAACAACAAACCTCCAAGTTTTGAAAATACCAACATACCTAGTCATTCATGGAGCAGCCTTACATTCATGAAGTTGCCTGAGTTCCTGCTAATGACGTAGTGGATTTATCGACATTATGTTTGTTATGTCCCGATAAGAATAATGAGTGGTAAATTTTGGGACCCATTTGTGGACCAATACTATGCGTATATTTTAATCGTATAATTGTTAATTAGTTAAACTATTCATATTCATGTCTCTCTTATCATAAGCTTTATTTTAACCTATGAACTGTTATACGATTTTCCATTCTTGAATTATTCCCTGTCTATTAATCACTACCTCCCACATTCACAGCCATATTTGGCCAAAACTTGTACAAATGTTGTTTCTTATTTTATGGTATGATGTGGTCTGCTTGGTTGGCATATAAACCCCGCATGTTTGAATAAATGATTCATATACCAGATGCTGAGATTGGTGTTCTTGACTTAACTGGCTGGGCTAGACAGGAAGCGGGACCAATCAGTACTCTAGACTACTCGCACGTGTTTTATGCGTCATTGGTCCGATCGATAATTCACTGCTCCCTAATCGGCGGTATCGTTACGTTATCCATTAACAGGGCACACAGGTCACAAGTTATAACAATGTTCAACCGTTTATTAATAAAAGTTTATCTACCACGAGAACTTAAGTAACCACATGTTCATAAAATCGCTTCCTAAATAATGCAGTATATTTGCGTTTTCAATGTTATTCTGTCAAGTTTTAAATCCAAATACTTTAATGACTAACTTTTTTTGGCTCTAACACTGTTTATCCGTCAAGTTTGCTTATCACAATCGACGAGAAAGACAACCAACGTTTTTACTTCAGTGTTAGTTCCCTGTACAATACCTGACTCCTTATTAGATGATTATTAAAAAGCTTTAAATTTTGGATTGTCATTATAGACAGTAATTTATACACTGGTCTACTTTGATCGAAAAGGTATATAATCATTGCATCAGGAGGTTCTCTAGATTTTCCCATAAGCATCGACTAACCAGCAAAGGCTTAACCTTTTTTTGGCTTCTGTTAAGATTAAGAGATTTTATTTGCGTTAATTAGATGCTGCATATGAATTGATTTACATAAACACTAATATAAACTTTCGAAAGTTATAAACAACATTGAGAACTTTCTAAATAGCCATAAAACTTCATAATGTTTTTCTTATCTCTTTAAATATATACATTTAGGATGTTAAAGAATGTGAAACACAAATCTATGTGCTAACTTTATTAGGAAAATTAATTCATAAAATTGATTTAATTGCTTATCCTCAATTCATTACTCCAATTCTAAACACTTTGAATCATTTATGGAGTTTTGGTAAGTCAATATATAATCATTTGTATATTATATTAACTTCGTAATATGTAGGACCAATTTTGAATAGGTTGTAGTCAACTAAAATGTAACACATTGGAACATAATATGTTGTTCCGTCGTGCTATTTAAACTTGGATTAATTTTGATTTGGTTATTTGTTTTCTGAAGAAGTGGCCTACACTAAGTTACGAAACGTCAGAAAATCTGGTTTTTCTACTCATTGGGATATTACCAATATATTACTTATTTATAATATGTGAAAGTTCTCAACATCATAATGGCAATATACTACACCGTGAATTATCTTGTCGGTATTGCTTTTTGTTATGTCGGACAATATTTGTCACTGGCCGAACTACATTATTATCTTTATTATTTTATACAGATTATTCTTTGAGTTTTACAGATATTTATTTATCTATCTGGCGAAAATTTATCTAAAACTAACATAAAGAAACATTGTTGACCTGTCCAAGTATTTAGGTATTATGTACTGTAGTCAGCAATGACTTTTGGAACTTCGATTATATATATGAGATAAACTCATGTTTTCTATGCGCACAACGCAGATGGACGGTCAGTGGCCTGATAGGTCGATGCCATTTCTCGGTCAAATCTCTCTTAATCTCTTAACATCTTGACTTTGGCTCAGGATCAGATGGCAAGTGATAATAGGTGACGCTTACCCTGATCATGTCACCAGACAATGGTTTTCAACTTCACAAACCTATAAATCACATTTTGCCAGCTTTGTACATTTAAGATCATCATCGGTCACCCAGTAGTTCTGTGACTTGCGAGCAGTTATTCTGTTATAACTTGTGACCGCCTATTAGAGGGAAGTGAATTGTCGATCGGACCAATGACGCGTAAAACACGTGCGAGCAGTATAGAGTCTTGATTGGTCCTGCTTCCTGCCTAGCCCAGCCAGTTAAGTCCAGAACACCAATCCGAGCCTCTGCCATTTGAATCATTATATTTCAAACATACTGAGTTTATATACCAATCAAACAGACGACAACGTACCACTAAAATATGAATCAACATTTGTACAAAAATTAGCCAGATGTGGCTGTAAATGAGGGAGGTAGTAATTAATATACTGGGTATAACTCAAGACTGGTAAAACGTATAATAATAGTTTATGGGTCAACATAAAGCTTATAATAACAGGAATACGAATTTGCGTAGTTTAGTTACTTAATAATTATACAATAGGAATATACGTTTGGTATTGTTCCGTAAATGGATCCCAAAAATTACCATTCATTATTCTTGTCAGGACATAACATATTCACAGATACATATTGGTTGCTTATAACAGATCATGTCTACTGGTTTCATAGACCACGTTTCATATTCATACAGCAGTACACAGTAGTCTGTTGCACAGTTTACCTTCTCTTCGTTAAATTGGCACACTTCACACTTCTCTACAAAGTTATAGGTGTTGACAGAAACATAGCGGGTTCACCCTGTTATAGTCAGAAATACTTGGAATGTACTGCTTTTTATCATACCTTTCTGCAGACATTCAGACTGTCATTATAGGATCTTGTGTAATAAGTTTTCTAGTCAGTTTTGTTCAATTAGGTTATCACGGTAAACTAACCGGATCATCGTGTTTATTTAGTTACAGTTGTGATCAAGAAGTTAGTTAAAAGTAAACACTTGATCTTAAATATTTTGATTAACTAAAATATTTATTCTGGATTTTAGCTATACCAAGATGAACGTTCCTGTTGAGTGACTGATAATAATTTGCATGTTATTTTTCGTATTTATTTCTTTGTCTAATGTTAATTTATTTTGACACCTTAATAGGTGGTCTAAGTGCTGCACTACGAGCTAGTATTCTAAACACTGTCTGTCTTCTAATTACTGAATTTAATGGATTCAATGAATGTTCTTCACTTCTTCCTGAGTTCAATACATTAATACACAGTTCTGTAATTAATTTAATTCAAATATCATTATATCAAGCAGAAGAAAATCAAATAAATGGTTCAGAAGCTTTATTTGAACCAGCTGTTCGTTTATGGGCAAGTTTAGTTGAAGGTCTTAATTCAGCATGGTCACCAGATTAATTAATTTAATGCCCATATTAGTTGGAGATAGCGTACATTTAATGCAAGCTGGTGGAGACCTGTCAGTTAGTACTTCGTTGAAACGACCATTACTAGGTCGCGTGGATTCGGGTGAACAGGCTGATGTAAGTTAGATAGTATGAATTAGGCTATCATTTTTGAAATTATATATGTATATGGCTCATCGTATTTAATTCGGAGTTGTGAATAACAAGAGTAGTGCACAAATGTGTTGCTTAATTAATCCTAGTTTATAATAGAATTTTTTTGCTTTTCTTCGAGTGGATTTTTCAGAAAAATAAATGAAAATTATGAAAACAAATCGAAATGTTTCAATTTAAATTTCAATCCTAACCTCTGGTGTTTCAACCTTCATCATTAGAATTAAGTCGAAACAACAGCCTACTTTCTATTAGAATTTTCATATATAACATAATCACTTAGTGCTCTGGGATGTTGCATCATTTTTTAAAAGTAGTGGACTTATCAGTAGTCTAGTGTTGTAGTATGTGCAACTGATGTAAGTAGTATATATCACCGGTCGAAAGTGGAATGCCTGGCGGCAGAAGGTCGAGAAGATCGAAGAAAAAAGAACGGGAACAAAGAGTGATTGGTATGGAAACGAAAAGCAGTAAAGACAATTGATGGACATTTTAAAAATTATGTATTTACTGTATGGTTCTCAGATTTTACTAAGATATTCTGTTCAAATACATTTGGTTGTCCCGCCTGTGTTCTCGTTCACTACGGTGTAACTAATTACTCTTTTTTTTCAAATAGATAGATAGATAGCTGGACTGATAAATACGATTACACAGAATCGTGTTCATCAGTCAAGTTTGTTATGCATCGAAACTTCATAGAGAAAGCAATTCAACAGGACTGAAAAGTTATCAACAAAACATCAATGAATAGTTGAAGGAACTGACTAAGGAGTAAACATTTCTACGTCACGCTATCTCAATCAATGAATTCCACCAGTTCAAAGACTATCTGAAATGTCTTTAATTTTGTGTATGGTTGATGTCAACAAGTCATCAACTTTATGAACTGGTGTCATAGTACACATGGTTTTAGCTAATGTCCTCGTAAATACTTAAGTTTAATCTCTTCAGTGATTGTTCACTGGAACAAATTATTGCCCAACACACACACTCAAATGTTTTGGGTAAAATCATATCTTATAAAAATACAATAATAAATATTTATATCGAAAAAATCATCAAATATACATTAAGCTATGAATATAACCTTTTTTCTGCAGTTAATTCAATCTGTTTATTGTTACATTTAAAGCTTCTTGTTCATTCGCTGTTCTATGAAATAGATTGAAATGTATTTGACTAAATTGAAATTCTTAATGAATAACATAATTAGCTAAATTAAAGCTTATTGTTAAGCGATATAAACTAGTAGCCGACGATTAACTCTGAACAGTGATTTGGTTGAATAATAGCTTCTAGTTAACTGAAGTATGGCGATGTGATGTGTAATTTTGAATAATGTCACACTTGTTGTATATGTCAGTCATCATTGATAAGTCTCTCCATTTTGTTTGGCATCGTTAGAAAATAAATTTGACGTCTAGGTACTGGGTGGATCTAGACTAAATGTGTAACAGTCAATATTTTAATCATTCTTTGCAACTTTCTTTATCGTTTGATTAGATGTATTTTTCTTTTGGGATCCAGTGTTTTATGACTGTTTTCACTTTTTTATTACATTATAGCTAGTTTTCCGTATTGCTTATGGTACTTTGAGGCTAGCTCACAAGGCTGGTAATGATATTTTGCACAACTTTATATGCCAGTGGTCCGAACCCTTTTGGATATCTATGTTGGTTGTCAGTTTGAATTGGAATAATTCACTTGGGGAACAAGTAAATTTAGAGGATCTTTATTCTCAAGCTTCTTCATGCATTAATGATGAAAATAAAACAGATGAAGAGTCGAAATATAGGTATATAAATTCTACTGATAATTGCCTATACCATGTTTCATTTAGTACGTCACTTAGGGAATTCATCATCGAAAAAGTCTCATATACGATGTATATACATATAATGTAATAAAGTCCCGTTATTGCAACTGCATATGGATAAATTTGATGTATATAGGTGGTTTTGTAGATAAAACTCTCTGCAATGTCGAAAACTTCATCTGATGATGAACATGTGGACAACCTCTGGATCCCAACACCGATGGAACACTCACCACCACAGTGTGTATGGAAATTGACCATTTTTCACAAGGAAATTTTTGCCCTCATATAGAACACGTTACACTGGAATAGGTACTGTATTCGTTTTTCTTATCGAATATCGATATCAATTCCATATAAAAATGAAAATATCAATCTTAAGGATCACTGGTTTAAAAGACTTTTAAGCTCTTAACTGGTGGGATTATTGGTTATTTTTTAAAATAATGAAAACCTTTACACACAAATCAGTCTTGGAAAGGGTATTAGTTTCGATCGACCGAAGATTTCATTGATTTGTATCTATCATTCTTTAGTCTTAGACGAAATTGATTTTCCCAGTATATTGGTGAAGATCGAATTGGATCTTTAGTGGTGGTTTGCCTCATTATCAGGAAGTACTAGTTAAATTGAAATTAGTTACATCACTCTAATCATTGGTAACAGAAAATTATTATTTATATAGTATGTGAATAGGAAAGTCAATTTTCAACTCTAAACATTTTGTTATATTTTAACTATTCTGCCCATAAGAAGATACTTTTCAATCTAGTGGCTTACTCACACTAACATCATAAAGCGTAGATAATTTTTTTCGAAATCAAATATCAATAATTTACTATTTCTCTTATTTAACACATTTATCATGTTTATTGAACAAGGAGCTGAAGATTCACTCATATAACGAATTATGAATAAGACAGTTATTATGTAAATGTTAATATTACATGTAATGAATGTAAGTTATATTAGTATCATTATCTTGTGGTTTTTGCAGCGTTTATATTTTAATCATAAACAATAGAAGATACTTATAAACTAAACATTTTCACAAACTGACATATTTACTTTCTTGTTATTTTGGGTGATATACTAACTCGACTTATTAGTTCTTCAATGACAAACTTTCATATAATTTAATTTAGTATATATATATATATATATATAAGTATTGTTTTACATGAATCTTCTGATTGATGTTTAGGACTGCAATTGACCAGTCTCTTATTGACATATGTGCATACTGTGCGTCGATAATGCCTTAATTTACAACCATTATAAGCAAAGATGGATAGAGACTAGCAGTGGAATCCATGACACTCGTTTCGTCTTATTTTGGACTCGTCAGGGGGATCTACCTGCATCTGAGTTGATGTTCACTCTGGGACTCGAACTCAGTACGTTATTCACTTAGCTACTGAGTCCTGATAGCCACTTGCTTGTGTAATATTGTGAAGTTTAATTCAATATCGAGGCAGTACGCACAGTATGCACATATGCCAATAAGAGGCTGATCAATTGCAGTCCTAAACATCAATGGGAAGATTCATGTAAAACAATACCAAGTGAATTAAACTTCACCCCATTGTACACGTAAGTGGCTACCAGGTCTCAGTAGCTAACTGGATAACGCGATGGCGTTTAAAGCGAACGCTACTGGATCCGAGTCCCAGAGTGAACTCAGATGCAGGTAGATCCTGCTGACGAGTCCCAAATAGGACGAAACGCACGTCCTGGATTCCACTGCTAGCCACTATCCATCTTCGCCTTCATATAGTTTACTTTGGTTTCTCATTGTTTACATTTCTTTATTATTTTATGTTCAATTTTCAAAGGTTAAATCAACTTAAACTATTCATTGTATGGCTTACGATTTATTTGGACATCCAATATTCTCAACAAAATTTTACATCTTTACCATCGAGTGCAATTGGTTTAATTTTTCTAGCTGCTAAATATTGCTTGATTCGTGCTCCTGAAGATGCACATTCTGATGTTACACCAAAAGCTACGGAACTTCGACTAGAACTTCTCTCTCGATTAGTATTATATCCTAATATGTGGTAAGTTTTTTGTTAACAGAGTTTTTAAAACAGTGCCTGGTGTTTTAGATTTTAAAACTTGATGTATGACAGCATGATATATGTATATGGTCTAAGTATTTTGCTATAAGTATCTTCAAAGAATTGATTTTTTATGGATTAACCTCTTAGTGAATAGTCATGAGGCTAGACGCTAAAGTATATATATATATATATATATATATATATATATATATATATATATATATATATATATATATAATGCAATGGGGCAATCGAAAATTGCGAAATGAAGTCACTGTGTGCTAGTCAAAGATCTCTGATCATAAGTTTATGTTATTACTATTATTATCATTATTATTATAAAATAATAAATAAGTGCTCATGTATTTGATTCAGTTAATCCTGATAAGTTTCTTCCTTTATCATTGGTCTCCTCACTCAGTATCCACTTTGTGGTTTTCGTATAAGAAGTTTGTGTACCAGTATTATTCTCGGATACTGCTCATCATAACAGAAATGATCACTTTGTTATCAATAATTTATTGTAATTATTCTGCTTATTACATTTAATTTAGGTAATAAACTACATATAACAATAGTTATTGTTTTACCTCACATTTTACGCTAGTACTGTTGAAACTAACTTCTATCATCCATCTTTCAGGTCTTGCTTTACTTATACATTACAATTAGTTCGTAAATTTTCTGATAATAACAACCCTCCTAATTTATATTCATTGCTACAAGGATATCATAATTCAATCGGTCAGCAATGTTGTTCTACTTTGGATGAATTAAGAAACTTATTAATTTCACCAATTCGTCGGTGGTTAGGACGTGTGGATTCTTTGCCTAGTTATATTGATCGACGGTGTATAGCCGTTGCTGCTATCACTTGTTTTAGACAAGGTATTCAGTCATACAATATCAATGATCATCAACTACTTGATGTGAAATATTTGGAAGATTTGGCTGTAAATGATAGTTGGCATGCTCAATGGCTTGAACCAGTCATCAATCTTATTATACAGGTTTGTAATTATCTGCATATATATTCTACACTACAATCAATTTTAACGTTATTGTGTGTTTCTGGGCGGTTTTTGTACAGTATTTTTCTATGTTTTATGCTGAAAACATCTTCATCATTAGACACATGCACTTTGTAAAGTAAATATTCTCATAGAATCCGTTCAAAGATTTTAATCCGGAAAAGATAAGTCAAGAATTTTATGGACGTATGATAAATTTCAGTGAGACAGAATAAATTTTAAGTATTCACGAAATTCCAATCGTGAGATATGGTGATAATCGTATTTTAAAAAGCATACAAAAGAAAAGCGTTGGAATATTAGCAAAATGAGTTTACTGCTATGTTTCGAGTTCCGACTCGTAGCTCAACATAAACTAGTATTTAATTGTTATTACACACATGAAACATTATAAAACAATGATGATATTCTTTGAAAGTAGGTGAGTGGATTCAAACATCAGAATCAGAGTGTAGTGTAGTGAAGTTGCTACGATAGGTTCCACAGATTACGAAATGCTATCCATAAAAATAGTTGGATATCACAAACTACTGTTTAATAATAAGTAGTATGCAGTATCCTAAAAGTAGGTACTAGTCTGAAATGAGAATCATTACTATCGTTGGTTTTATTTTAAACAATTTTTGTTAACTTCGTGTCTTGTCTTTATGTATCTTCCCACTATATCCAAATTTTGATAGTGCTCCTAATATTTCATCGTAATTTCCGTCCTAACAGTTATTTATACCTGAATTATTATTCAACAATATATATAAACCTTTTAAACCATTGATTAAAATCACGTTAATAACAAGTCACTATAAAATACAATTCTGTTGGTAATCATAATCACAAAGTGACATTAGCCAAGGACCTATAGATAACCTTTGAAATTAAGCAGCTATATGCAGACCCAGTTTAGCACTCTTTAACATTACACATTCACGACCACACATTAAATGAAACCGAGGAGCTTCACCTCTTAGAGGGCGAAAGATATAATCCACTAGTTCATATGGTTAATTTTGTAGTATTCGGCCGTTCTTTAAGTAGTAAAAATCATCTTAAAACTCTTCATTAATGTGAAAAGTCTTATCAATAAGCTTGTCGATTTTTTGTATTCTGAGTTGCTGATATGCTTTTGTATCTCCCCATTTTCTACATTCTCTATTCTTACTGAGTTATCCTTTAATTTATTTTCTATAAAGGTTCTTTACGATGAAGAAGAAGTGTTTACAGAAGATGAAAATATTCAGTTTTATCATTTTTATCCAATAGGAATTTCTACATTGAACAATTTAAAACATCGACTTAGAAATGAACTCAATTTATGGCAAGATCAAGTAGGCTGTCCTACAATAGCCGATGCTTTGCTTAAATGTCATGTTGATCCAGCTCTTCGTGTTCAGTTAGAATGTCAATTAAATCAAAGTGAATAGTATAAATAAACAATAATTCTTGAAAAAAAAATTCTGAATACTACAATGTATAAATATTTTATTTTTAATTAAAAACTAATTTATTCGTTTTGCTGCACAATCGATTTCTGGTTCCCTTTTGGGGTTGTAGATGTGCACTACTAACTAGTCCATATTTATGAGTATAAAACTACTCAATACTCCGTTTTTTATCGGTGGATCAACTTATCACGTTTATCATATGATCGAAATTGTATTAGATTATGTGATTTTAATGAAGTCTCCCACTTTTTTTTGAATATAATGTTTAACGATTGATATGGAAGATGTAATTGTTACTTCATCACACTTCTACTAATCACTACTTGTCTAAATTTATAAGTGTCGAATTCTCTGATCTTACCACTTTGAATTTGTTCCTCTTCATATAATTGTTGAAAGCATACAACCAATATTCCCTTGATGTGGAAAAAATATTGAATTTTGAAAGAAGATTTTAGGATGTAGATCTTGACTCATGTATCACAAAAAGGGATAGATATTAACCCTTCATATCCGCCATATGTTTTTCTTATTATCTGAAACTAGAATCTTTCTTTGTTAATGGAGTTCTTTTTTGATACCCGCATTAGATAGGACAATTGGTACTCAGTGAGTGTATCATACAATTGAATCAGTGTAGTTTCTTGGGAATGGTTAATAGTTTTACTTCCATAGGAATAAGTATTATATTTCGTGATTCTTTAGTTCATTTTTGTTAGAGCGAAATTATAAACCTGTTACTTTGTCTCTTGAGTAAGATTACATCACACTGTAACGTGCTCTATTCTTTTATAATACTGAAGAATATTGAAAAGTAAGGCGTAAAATCATATTTGTATACGGTAGAAATGTTTTAAATATAAATATGTGATATTTACTTTTCACAGAAAGTATATTTACATTCATATATACATGAAATAAGTAAATAAAATTATATAAAGGTAAATGAAATATTTGTAGGAAGATAAGAGTCTACACAACAGTGAATTAACAACAGATTCACTTATGTTTTTGATTCGGTCGACTCTTACAGCCTGTTCATCGTATAGGTGAATGTGTTAGTTTTGATGTTATAGAGCTTTCTTACTCTAGTTTTTATGCGTTGATTTTAGTGTATTTACGTCTCGTTTCATCAGAGGATGTTTAGGAAGAGAAATGTAAATGGGATGGATGGTTCGTATCTGATGAGATATCACTTGTCAGATGTTTGCAAGACTTCAGATGTCTATTAACAGCAACCTTCATAATAAGAACCGGAGATTTATAACATAGTTTACTAATTGCCTTTAGTACTGCCTGAAATGAAGTAAAATCTTTTCTCGTAAACTTAGGGAAGTTTAATGGGGAACAATAGACGATAATAGTTATCATACAAGTACTTAAGAATTGTGAAAGTCAAATGTTGAGTAATAGTAAAATCATGTAGCCTCTTCATGTGATGAGTCAAACGAAAACCTTTCCTCGACATAACATGAGAAGGCCAAAAGTGGTCAGCATATACCAAAATAAATGACATCCGGCATGGTTTTAGTAACGGAATCTTCAGTGGTTTGCACTTTATTTGGCTTCAACAAAGTGTTCTTTTCATGTTTCAAGCCAAATTCAACAGTTTGACATTTAAGATTAAGTGTGGAACTATTAAAAATGGACCGTCGTTCAGTGATCTTGAAGAACACATTCGATTCAAGGCGGTTTGAGGAGGAAGAAACAGTGTGATTGCTCCCATGCTTAACAATTGTTATTTGTAGGAAGTAATAGATTATAAAGAAAGGAAAGGGGAAATAAAAGCTGGTTATGCTGCGCCAGCGTAAGTTAATAAATAAGTAGAATACTTTCACCTTAGTATGCCATTTTCTTCTAGAGAATTAAGAATACAGCCAGTCGGTTATTCAGTTCTCGGTGTTAATGCTAAGAAATGCGCTCGATGATAGAAGTCATGAAACAGAGTCAGAAGCAGAAGTAAAGCATATGAATGCGCACCGAACGTTCTCACTTTTTTCCATGCTGAACCTTATATTCTCGTACAGGACAATACCAGCATTCAGAGCATTTCTAAGCAAACCGATGTGGGTCAGCACTGCTTTTATGCAGGCTGAGGTAGGGAAAGCAATATTTTCTCTATCGTTTTTAGAGAAAGTGAATTCATTGTTTTGGGTTTGAACTCTACATTCTTATCACTGGATTTTCTCTCTTGCACTGACATTATCTTTATTTTTCGGTACACCTTCTAAAATTAGTTGGAAAGACTCATAAAAAAATGCTCGCAGATGGATGACAGAACATCAATACATTTCTGAAAAAGGTTTGGAATGTTGTCAGGTACTAAAAATTGTTATAAATTACGTGACTTCAGACACTTTGTAACACCAGTTTCCGTAAAACTTTGGAAATAGAATAGATGAAATCAGATGCTTGAGCTATAGAAGATTTATTCTAGTTACAAACATTCAACTGGATATCTTCACTAATCCGTTTCTTACATGTAAGTTCTTTAAACGATTTCCGTACATTGGAAGAGTTCTTTGAAGATAAGAGTTTGTGGGCATACATCAAACTCGGATGGATTATCAGGCTTATTGAACAGTTTAGCCTTTTTAAATCAATAGAGATCTCTACGCAATATTCCTTTTCTCTCCCAGATAACAGTTGTGGGGATCTTACAACAGTGATCTCAATGGGACCACAAACATCAAGATAGAGTTTAAGGTAAAAATTGACGATAATAAATACGTCTTCCAATGAATCATTTATGAGTAAGTCTCAGTTCACAGTTCAAAACATGATTTTCAGATCTAGGATGTTTTCTTAATAGTTTTTATATGTTTTGACTTTTTATCTGTGAGAGAATATTTTTTCAAAGTTTGCCACATGCTTAAGGAGGAGCTAGAATAATACAATAATCAGAACCAAGCAGTGGAGTATTTTTACAAGTCACGTATATTTCCACATCATTAACGAAAACTAAAAAGGTTAGAGAAATCGATGGGGTTATGATGACCTCAAGATGAAACAAAGCTACAATCATATGAATCAGAATCACCACACCCATTTTAAAGAGAACCAATAAGTAGAGTAAGGAGAAATTCAGTGGGATTATCAACGAAAACCGTTAGTAAAGATAAGGTGCATAAATGCTGGTAGCATAAATATAAATGTATTTGTTCAAGTGTCTTGAGCGACATATCAACGTTAAGCAATTGATAAAGTCATTTGTAAACTCAAAACATACATAAATTGACTACAGTTTACATTTAGAAGCGTGACTACACCATTAGAGTCCATTTTTCTACTGCTTGAATAATTCGGACAAATCCTAAAACGGTGTTACTTACTCCTGTTACTCCCAATGGAGCATAGGCTGTCCTGAACCTTCCTCTCTAGTTTTATCCAATTGTTGTTCATTCTTCTCATGTCCGTCTCCATTTCTCAGCGTAATGTGTTCTTTGGTCTTCCTCTCCTCCTTTGGCCTTGAGGTTTCAGTTAAGGGCTTGCCTTGTGACTCAGTTGGGTGCATTCCTCAATTCGTGTCCTATCCACTTCCAGCGCTTCCTGATTTCTTCCTCCTCTTGAATCTGGTTTGTTCTCTCCCATAATAGGTTGTTGCTGATAATGTCTGGTCAATGGATCTGAAGTATTTTGCGTAGACAACTGTTAACAAACACTTTTATCTTTTGGATGATGGCTTTCGTAGTTCCCCAAGACAGTATAATTGTACCAAACTATCGTCATTTCAATCATTTAGTTAAGATATTTGAATTGTGATTACATCACAATTACAGTAAATGTTTGGGCCCAGTTAGCTTTGCCCATTAGTGATCTGTAATTAAAAGTAAATAGTTCAGAGATAGATAACACCTGAACTAAGGATAGGGAGTGAAGTAGTCGAACGCGTTGACAACTTCACTTATCTTGGAAGTCTGATCAGCCCTAGTGGTTTGGTGTCTGACGAAATCTCAGCACGGATTCGAAAAGCTCGCTTGGCTTTTGCCAATTTACATCACCTATGGCGAAGGTGAGATAACCGTCTATCAAAAAAGGACGGGTATACTGCGTGGCAGTTCTTTCTGTTCTACTTTACGGCTGAGAAACATGACCATTGAGAGTAGAAGACACTCGTAAGCTACTAGTATTTGACCACAGATGCCTTAGAAATATTGCTGGCGTCTGCTGGGATCACCGGGTAAGTAATAGTGAGGTTGGACACAGGGTGTTAGGGAATGATTTTAAATCAGTTGATGAGGTTATAAATCTTCATCGACTGAGATGGTTGGGTCACGTATTACGTATGCCTGAACACCGATTACCACGACGTGCAATGCTATCCGGTATTGGAGATGGTTGGAAGAAAGTTAGGGGCGGCCAAACCAAACCGTGGCATCAATTCTTGAAGTCACTAACATCTGGTCTGAGCCATGTTGGTAGATGCAGACTACTTGGTTGGGGTCTGCGTGACTTTCGTAACCAGCGGTTGGAGACTCTTGGTGACATGGCTCAGAATCGATCACAATGGTGTCGATGTATATACTCTCTGTCTTCCCTCAAACCGTGAGATTAAAATCGCTTCATATTTTTCTTTCTACGGACTCATTCTTTCTTCTTGTACTATATCCTTATATACAATCTTTCATTTATATAATACTACCATTGACTTAACTACTATAAATTCGGTGTTCATCTTGTTGTGCTAATGAGGTATAGCAACTTGGACCGATGCATATATGTGCCTGGTCCTACGATGTAGCTGACTGACTGAAATATCTGATTAATGTTTACTCTTATTTGAATATTGATAATGATAAGTGAAAACAAACAAAATATAAGAAACTTATTTAAATATTTTTGAATGGTAAGAAAAATAGGTAGACTAGATATTCAAACAGGCCACCGTAAGATTAGTTATGGTAATAGTACTGATATTAGCAGTAGTAGTATTATTATTAGTAGTAGTAATAGTAGTAGTAGTAGTATTCATTTCAATT